TCCCTTGATCAGCATCTGTCAGCCCGTCAAGTGTTGAGACACGGCGTCTAGCCAGGCTACAGCAGGTTACACGCTCGCTCACTGGTGTCGCGGCGAGCTGTGGTGTCGCCGCGAGCTGTGCCCGTGTTCGACGTTGTGGGCCTCGTCGGCCAAAGGCACGCACCCTAAGATGGTAGATCGAGGTGTGAGAAGGCTTTCTCATCCCATCAGGTTCAAGTCAGAGCGGCTCATAAATCCGGTCTCATCCCATCCGTTGCCTTGCCCCATGCCCACAACAAAAGCGAGCGGCAGCAATGCTTCAAAGACGCTGTAAGTTCTCCGGCCCCGTGAGCGGGGCCGAACAGTTGTCTTGCACCCGCACCTCGTCAATACTTTCGAGTCCGCTACTTGATGCTACGGCCTGCTCGTGTGCCCTGGTGAAGCAGCACCAGGCGTGATGTCCAGTGCCACATTGGCTGCTGGCTCTTCTCGTTGTTTGTTACATGCATGTACCGGTTTCCGACCAAGGGAAGCATTGGCAGGCTTGGCCAACTCGACCTGTGGTGTTACCCAATTCGCCCTGGTCAGTGTGCAACCCTCATTGAACACCTACCTGCATGGAATTTGGCAGTCTGGCCGTCCCGAGATCATCCCAGCTAGGAGCCCGCCATGTCCAGGCTGCCAGCTGCATGGCAGTTCGAGGATTCATGAGCTAGGTGTGCCTAGAATAGGTCTATGTCTTAGTATCCCGAGAAAGGCACCACTTACTGGGCTTCCGTGTGAGCATCTCGGCTTTTCTAGACGCCCTAATCTTTGATACCTGACAGTAGAATCCGCTTCTCATGCTACCAAACCCACCAGCCTTTGTTCAAAGATCAAGTTCAATGAGTGCAGACATGGCATCCCAAACCAACCTGTCTCCTAGGCTGCCATCGGCCGGCAGACTTGCGCCTCGCCACAGACAGATAAAAGACCACAGGCGGGAGTCGAACAGCCTCAGTTCCAGCCGCGAGCATGGACCCTCCCGATTAGCTTGCGCTTCGTCCCGTCCCGAGCATCCTCGCAACAACGCCCCCACCTCCACCACCAGGCGACAGGCCGACCCGCCAAACGCACATGGTCCCCCTGATCATCTTTCGTCCTCCCGCACAATGCCCCGTTCCCTCCCGCCTAATAACAAGCCCCAGCAGGCGAGCAGGCATGGAGGCGACAATGGCCTCGCGCCGCTCGAGGGCCCGTCTGAGACACCGGGTAAAGCGAGGCGGTTCTCCTTCTTCGACTTCCCGCCCGAGATACGCAACATGATCTACCACTACTCCCTGCACCGCCCCGACTGCGCAGACCTGTACCGGGGGTACTACAGGCAGGCCGCCGCGCTGCCCAGGGCCCAGCGGTGGCACCGGGCGCACCTGAGGACGCCGACCATCCTGCTGCTCTGCAGGCGCATCACCGCCGAGGGCATGCCCGTCCTCCGGGCGCAGTGGTTCGTCATCGACCGCCTGCCGCCGTGCATGCCGCCCACGCCGGACGGGAAGGGGGGGTTCCTGCGCATGTCCAACTTCATCGGCCGCGAGACCCTGCAGCGGCTGCACTACATCGACCTCCGCGTCGGCCTGGGCGAGGGACCCCTGGGCAGCGGCTGGATATGGAACAGGGTGCTCGACGAGCTCGTCGGCATCTTGAGCGAGAGGAACGCGCTTGTCCACTTCCGCCTGCTCATCCGGAGGTGCAACCAGGAGGACAGCCCCTCGGTCTGGGCCACTGAGAGGACCGAAGAGGGGCAAATTAGGAAGGTGTGTGCGTGCCTTTTCCCTGAACTCGTCGTCGTGGGCACGTACTTTACTGACATGTGGAGAAAGAAAATCACTGGCTTTCAGATGTCCAACCCGAACATCTTCAGACCAGGCAAACTCACCGTAGAGACGTGGCGCATCGAAGGCCAAAAAGCCACCTTTCTCGCTGGTCATCACCAAACGAAGGCCGAGGAGGGCTCTGAGCCGCCGTGTAGGACCTATCCAGACCGCGAGCTGTTCCCTGGGTCAATAATGCAATTTGTGGACGCATTGCCCGAGGCAGATTGGAGTGATGAAGAATAAGATGGGTAGGCATCTTACGCAGCACAGTGAACCAGCTTCACCTCGAAATCCTGAGGATGTAGCTGCTCCCAGCACAGGCTGGAAAGCATACGGCTCCGCATGCATGTCTCAGATCATATCAAGGAGCACGGATGCAGCGCAGGATAGGATAGACATAATTCAAGTCCTGGCTGTTGGTATCAAAAAATTACACACTTGTTGACGGCGTCCCGTGTGTTCCAGCCTTGCGAACACCAGTCTTGCCAACGCCATGCGAGAAGCCTCATAATCATAAACCTTCAAAAGTCATCACGTCTCCTCGCCTGCCGCTGCCGCCCCATCTCCACGGTTGAACCAGCTCCCAAAGTCCAGCTTCATCAACAGCCGATCTAGTCCGCCCACGCGGCGCGGCACATACTGCCCCTCCTCTCTGAGCCCGGCACCTCCCTCGCCGTCCTCGCCAGCATCCTCGCCCCCCCAAGCCAGGCCCTCGTGATCCGCCTCAATGTTCCGCAACACCGTGATGACACCTTCGATGCCGGCCTTGATCTTGTCCTCTACGGAATTGATCCGCCCCTTTATGTCATGCTCCTCGCGCTCCAGGTCGACAAAGGCGTCCACGACGCCCATGTCTTCCTCGAGGTCTATCGCGTTCCATATCTCCTGCAGCCGGTGGATGATGGCCACGAGCTGGTCCACCTCCACGAGGAGGTGGTACAGCGGGTCCGTGAAGTCCTGGTGCGACAGGAGCAGCCTGCGGACGAGCGTGGCCAGGTACAGCCGGTGCGCAGCAGCCAGGGTCTGGGGGTCGTGGGGGTGCTTGTCCTCCACGCCGGCGTTTTCCCGCGCCCGCGGCGTCTTGACGCCTTCGGCAAGCCACAGGTCCTCGTCGTCGTCATCCTCGTCCATCGCGTCCGGGTCCTGTACAGGGGCTGGCGTCGGCACGCGCGACGGCCTCGTGGACTCGGGCGGCCGGTGCTCGTCGCTGCCCGTCGTGAGCCACCGCTGCAGGCCCTCCCACAGCTCTGCCACGACCTCGACCTGCAGGTACCCCTCGACCTCGGCGAGGAAGAAGATCGCCGCGCTGCACGTGGTCCACGCGCTGCGCATGGCGAGCATCCGACGGGCCTGTCGCTCCCGCAGCAGGACCACCCGGGCCCGGCCGAACTTGGTGCTCCCTTGTGCCGGTTTAGGCGGTGGCGGGTGGTGCCTCCTGAGCGGCGTGATCTTCCAGAGGTCTGTGAGGCGCAGGTGCGCGCGGCGGATCGAGTGGAGGTAGGAGTTGATGGCTGTGTAAGCCTGCACATCCGACTGGCTCAGGAACAGGTCCAGGGGCGAGGGGACCCGGACGGTGAGAGTGACGGGAACAGAGAACATGAGGTTGCGAAATGGAGTCGTCGAAATCTGGCTCGCTGGTCCCAGTCTCGCAGGGGTGGTCGATTTTGACTTTGCCAGAGTCAGCTTGAGAAGATCTCTGGCCATTTCAAGCCCCTCGTCCTCTTCCACCCGGTGCCCTTGCATGGAGCTCATCGAAGCCCACGTCCTGGTCAGGACAGCGATGACTTCACCTTCTTTCACAACGACGCCGCTCAGGCCGTCGCGCTTCTCGTGGGCCAGGTTATCGGCCCTTCGCCACCTGCTACGAATCTTCTCGTCCGCTTGTTGTGTGAGGGCCATGGCGAACTCGCCACGACCGAGCAGGAAGAAATCTCGGAGGAGGTGGAGCATCTCCAGGACCCTTGATAGAGGTAGGAGTTTCTGCAGAGTATTCCGAGAAAGAAAGAGCCTGATACTTGTGACTGTCCGTGAGAAGGTCGCACTGTCCAAGGGGTATGTCAACTGGGAGAGCTCGCGCAGCTGAGATGACAGGTGATCCATCCCCTGCATGCCGCCCTCCACGCTGCTCTTGGACCTGATATGATTAAGAGAACGCCCGATGAAGAGCATCGACGCAGCTGTCGGGGAGGTGACGAATGATGGAAGAAGCTCTGGGACAGAGATGAAGTCATCCTCTCCGTCCGCTGGCTGCTGGATGAAGAAATCCTCGGCACCAAACCCGGGTAGACGGCCGTACAAGATCCAAGCCGACACCTGCTTCACCCAGGCGGTCTCCGCGACCTGGGCCAAGCTCCGGGCCGTCTCCTCGACATCCGCATACCCCGTCTGCAGCTCACCACGCAGTCGGTTGATGACAGCCGCCCCGGTGCAGAAAGTCTCGGTGCCATCTGCGCGCTTCTCCTTCACAAGCATGAACTGCACCGTCTCCCACAGCCACTCCAACCTCCTCGTCCAGCCGCTGAACTCGCCGACCACCGCCGTCAGCGGCACGATATTGTAGGCGCCGACCAGGCCGGCGTCCTTGCGCAGGATGGTCTCCTCGACCTCGAGCACCTTGCGCTGGAACGCGGCCAGGTGCAGGCTGCTGACCGCGGTGGCCACGGCGCGGCATATCATGGAGCGGTGCGAGGCGGCTATCTGGGCGCCGAAGCTGAGCAGCTTGACGTGCAGCTCGCTCAGGTGCGCGACGGAGCGCAGGAGCTCGCGCTCGGGCGGCGAGATCAGGGTGCTAGCGGGCGCATCGGGGTCTGAGGCTTGGGCGGTTCGGAGCAGGGGGGAAGGGTGGCCTGAGAGGGAGAGGAGGATTTCGTGGAGCATCTTTGGGAGGCTGGACTCTTGCGCCTGGAGCGACGAGGGTACATTGTCAGCGAGCGTGTCGGGCGCGTGGGGCCGATGGGACTATTTGTGAAGGACGGCATCCCGGCCGAGGGACGGGTGGAGGGGGATTGTTTCCTGACCTTGCCCCATCAGTGGCGCGTGCTTTCTCCTGTAATTGCTTGCGACGGTCGGCAAACTGATGATAGAACAAGATCGAGGCCCCACACAATTCCCATCGACAACACATGAGGACCGATCTGCGGCGAGGATACCTGTTTCTCGAGGGCAAGTGCCGAGTGACGTGGGGCCGAGGCGCTCGCTGGCGGGGATCTCAACCGAGACGCGTCGTCGCAATGTGCGCGCACACAGCACAACTCTGAGGGCTCTGCAGTGTGATTTCGCATCCGAATTGGGCTACAACACCATGGCACCGCAGTTGCCAGCCTGTTCAATTCGGGCAGGTTGAGTTTGGAAAAAAGCATCAACGGCCTGCATCTTGTTACTCCCAAGGTCTCAGACTCCAATGCGGTCCTTTTTTTTTTTTAGGGCGTCCTCGCTCGGCCGAGTCTGCGGCTCAGGCTGCGGGTCTCACTGCATAGACAAGACTCGGCAAAAGGTGCTTGATGACCTGCGTGCTGTGGCCCAATAGGTACAGAATCAATGTATATCTACATGTATGTTCTTCTATGCATGTCCATACATGTATGTGCTTCCCTAGAGCCGCAGATCCAGATGGTGGAACGGGACTGTTCTCATACGCGTCGAAGTGTTTGCTTGGTCTTCGGATCCGGCCCCGGGGCTCAGATATATTCAATTCATTCCTGTTACTGTTCATTATAGAGCCACCAAATACCTATGTACTGCGCAATCAATGCTGTCTACACACGCGCTGGCGATGGGGACCCAAAAGAGACTTAGAAGAAGCAGCGCTCGTTTAGGAAAGAGAACCACTCAGACCAGGGTGGCCGACTGCCCAAGGCCATCTCAATACTTCGTCACAGGCTTCTTACCTTCCACCCCGCTTATCGAACTGGTTTCCGAGGAAGTGCCCGCGCCTTGACCCTCCAGATACTGTTGCTGTTGGCCGGGAGGTAGTGCACCAGCCACGACTGCATCACCACCATCGCCGCCACCGACCACTACCTCGCCGCCGCCCTTGACTCTACCCACGACCATCCCTTTGGCCACCGACTTAAGAATGGCGCGTCGGGAGACACCAGTCACATCGATGTAGACCAGCCCCACGTTCTTCACGCCACCTCCTAGGCTCGCCGACAATTCTCCAGCCTCGGGACCCCATCGGTGGCCCACGACAGTCGTGGCGGCATTTGAGCTGGACTCGAGAAGAGTTCGCCCCGCTTGCTCTATGCCGTCTGCTACTGTCGAGAAGGCCATCATGCTCTTGTTGAGGATACCGGGCTTGTACGTGTCGAGAGGTTTACCGTCCTTATCGAACCCCTTAGGCTGGCCGTTGTTCTTACCATGCCGGCCGAGCGTGGCACCCAAGTTCTGTGCGACCTTGCCGATCGAGCCAACCGTCTTGGCCGACACACCGGCCGCGCCGCTCGTAAAAGTGTGGACCCTGCGGACGTGTTCCTTGGTCGTCGGTTTGAAAGTTACGGGCTTGGCAACTGGCTTGGTCTTCTGGGTAAAGCTGTCTGCGCCGCCTTGCAGCGCTTTCGAGACGTAATCTGAAGTGGTCACGATCAGTCGCGATGCCGCTGCAGCATTCGAGACCAGTGTTGACTTTTTGTATGCCGGGTGCATAGCAAGGTCCAGGTCCTCGGGTCTTGCCGGGGCGATGGCGATCTTATTTGAACCCTCCCCAGGTAGCGTGATCTGTACTGGATCTAATGCCCAAATTTTAGTTCCTTGGCTCTGAGACATGCACGAGGTTGTCCGCTCACCTTTCGAGCCTGGCTTCAAAGAGTTGCTCTCTACCATGTCGAAGCCCTCGCCGAGCTCACCGATGACGCTACCATCTTCTTCGTCCACCAGAACTATCTGCCCGCCATTGTTGGAGCTGTGGCTGCCCTTCGCGTATGCCTCTCCGGGCTTGTAGTCGCCTGGGTTGTAGGCAGGAAGCTGTTCCTCTGCTGCCAGCGCAGCTTTTGATCTTGAGGAGCTGCCTTTCGTGGGGATCGTGCTTGACTTGGTGTCCTTGGGGAGTGGTGGTGGCGAGCGCTCCAAGAAAGCCGTGCATTGAGCTATGCAGGTCTCCCATGTGTCAATATCGTCCTGTACTCCCGGCCGACTCCCCAGCTCAGGAAACTCGATCCTTGTAAAGGCGCCGCTGTCGGGGCCAAGATCCCAACGGGGGATCAGGTAGCTCCTGGGCGGCTGGTGGTAGATCTGGGTCGTTGCGGGCAGGGGCAAATCGAGCTCAGGCGGCAGGTGGAGGTGGAGGTAGAAGTCCTCCTCTGGTGGGTGGGACGAGGGACCCAAGGCAGAGGCGTCAGCAAATGGCGAAGAAGTAGGGACCATCAGCAGAGACAGGGTCTGAGGCCCAGCTTGCGTGAGGCACTGCTCTTTGCCATTGGCAAGGTGATAAGCCGACACGCCGTTCACGGCGTACAACAGCTTTGGATCCTACCCGCAGGATTAGTGTCTGAGAATATGTAATTCACCTGCACTTTCTTGCACGCACATTCTGTCCCGAAGGCATTTTGTCCGAGTTGGAAGCGTCCCGAGCACAGGCGTAAGGGAGAAAGTTCGGGCGGTCTTTTCGCAGCCAAGAAGCCCACGACAAGCGGAGCGGTCGGACAGCGCGCTGGTCGCGAACAGCGTGAGAAGGGGTCGCAATGGGGGCTGTAGCTCGAGACTTTGAGACAGGATTAGCAGCAGAGAGTAGGGGAAGTGTCTCTTGGGTAAGAGTATAATCTAGGTGTCCGAGTTGGGTCAAAAGGGGGAAATCAGGGAGTGGGAGGGAGGCGGCGTGCTTGCGCGCTTAATGGGAGACGCTGTGTGGGGCGGGCGTCTCGTGGTTTGCCCAAGTGTATCGAAAAAGAGGCCTCTTGCGGGAGAGGGAGCTTGGAAACGTCGAAGCAGCCGGCGGTCGCAGGCAAGCTTGTAGGCTTGAGCGACGTCATTGGGTGTTGGAGACTGACTGACAACCTGGGCGCCCCCGCCAACATCTAACAAGCTGCAGCCAACAGCTGCCCAGCTGCCAAGGCGACAAGACGAAAGGACGACGACGCATTTCGCCATCCCGCCCGCTGAGCGGCCTTCCGTTTGACTCTCGCCCACTCGATGCATACTGATTTTGCTTCCTAGTGGTCTCGCGATAGTCTCAGAATTACTGAACTGGGGCCGTCACGTGACGCGAAGATGTTCAATCTATCACTCTCTCACCCTCTCGTCCACCCACCCACTCACGCAGGCACATGCACAAACTCTCTCCTGTCTCATTCTTCGTCTGCATCCCTCCTGACGGGCTGCGCACAGTCTCGGTGTCATGCAGTGCAGCCTGCCGTCACACGAAATCCAAGGCGTCTTTAGAACACGGTCTTGTTGGAAGAGGTTGACCGAAGTGGGCTGTGATGGTGCTCACTCACGATGCATCGCCTGCCTATTCGGACAGCTCAAGGACTCGTGGATCCTACCGTCAAACAGGCCAGCAGCCAATCGGCGACCACAAGGATGTCTCCCGTGGGAGTGTCAGGGTGTGTTCGGAGTGCAGGACCATCGCATGCCGGTAGCTCGCTGTAGACTAAGCTGCAGGGCCGAGCGCCTCTGGTAAAATATTCAAGCGAGCCCGTGGGACCCAACCTTATCACGCCCGGAATATAGAGTTCATGGTACGGCCCGCCACGAGCCTGCCCTCAGCGTCTCAGGCATCAGAATCCATCCCGCAATGGAGACTGGTCGGTCAGTGACACGGACCCTGGCAACAGTCACCTCACGTCACGGCCGATCTCCCTCTCGTCCAGGTCCATTCATCAACCTTCCATCCCATGGTTCGGTCCATGGGTCGGTCCATGGGCCGGAGGAGCTCACGATGTGACCCGCGAGCCATTGCGCTTCCCAGGTGGTGTTGGCCCTGGCGGTCGAACCTCAAAGGCGGCAAGCTCCCTTCCGTTCTGAATCAGAAGTCTACAGTTACGGTACCGCATACGATGTACTGTACCGTCACAGGAATAGACTTCAGCAGTCCCCACTCACACGCGAACGGCTTCCCCGCCCAGCACACAGGGTTGCCATCATGTTTCTGTTCTGGACGGCGCTTCTCATGCATGTAGCTCAAAAAAGAAATCATTTCCCTCCTACCCGCGCTTTCGGCTTCGGCATGCCCAACCAACATGGGGTTTGCCCATCGAGCACCTCGCACCCTGCGCCCGCTGAGTCTCGTCTCCCAGGATTCGACCGCACCCCACGAGTCAGTCGGCCAAAATACAGTTTCTGGCTCAGCCCGAGTCGAAACGGTCGTTATATCGGCAGTCCTGCCGAGGCCTCGCCCTTCCCAGCTGCCTTGCCGCAACTGACTGTCCGGCATTGGTGGGTGTGTATGTGTGCCAATCTTCGACAGCATCTCTCATGGGTTTTACTCCGCAGAGAATGCAGTTCGCAGTGCTGCAGACTGGCGACTCGGAGGCATTGCGGGGGCTGGGTGCGCGTTCCACAACCGTCGGCCTGCTTCTGCATCGTCCAGGAATCGGAACGACGGACCCCCTGGTCCTCCTCACCTTCGGCCGGAGAGTCACCGACTTCCCGCCGTGCAGAAAGGCCCATGCCTCGGCCCTGCATGTGTCCCAGCAAGTCGCCTGACAGGGTCGTTTATACATGTGTCTGTCGGGCGACTGCGGACCGTCTGTGCTCGTACGCCTCGTTGCTGTTGCGCTGGGGTTATCAGACTGCCCGGCACCTGGCACCAGGAGCACGAGACATTGTGCCCTCTCGAGTGGGCATGGCACAATTGTGGCATAATCGTGGCATAATCGTGCACACGGGTCTTGCCCACGGCTTCTGATGGAGCTTGTTTCTTGGGGCGGAATGCAGGAACCCTGTGCCTGTTTATTTTTGAGTACAGTACGGTATTGTACTTGTGTGGTGTTGCACCTGCTTGGGATGCAAGTTGCGCCTGGGTGGGCCTGTCGTTGACCGGTCCGCCGCCCACAATCGCCAACTCGTTTCAACAAACCCCTCCCTGCCACAGTAGCGTGGGGTCCCCTTGATCTGATTAGTCCCTCAGTGGGTGCCTCTAGCCGAACCGTGTTGCCCGTGTCCGGGGGACGGGACGCGCTGGGAATAACCAGCCAGGCCGGCCAGGCCAGCCTGACAGCCCTGGCGGGTTGGTCGCCAGGGAGAGAGGGAGCTCGGATGATCTGTGAACTCTTCTCACTTCCCCTACCAAAGAACACTGCTGTCTGTTGCCCTGCCTGTTGGATTTCGGCGGATGCTCGTCACAGCCAGCCTATCTGCCTTGCATACATACCCTGCCCTGCCCTGCCCTGCCCGCGCCAGCACGCAGCTTGAACACACCCCCCCTTGACACCTTGAACGCCCAGTTTCCCATATAGTCTACCATTGGCAACGCCACCGGCCGGCGCCAAACTGCTTCTTCAACCTCACCTGTCACATATCCCTAGGCATCATTCCAGATCGCCATCCTCCCACCACCGTGTTTCCCTGCCGGCTCCCATAGCGAACAAGAGTGCTCCGGTGCCCAGCTTCATGTGCTCAGGTGAATTGCGGCTTTCTCCACCATTCTTAGGCAACGCATCTTCCCGACACCAACGCTTGACCTTGGCGCCATCCTAGCAAGGTGCTCTAGAAACATTTCTCTTTGCGTGTGTTGGACATTGCGTCGTTCAAGACGCTTCAGTGTTTCGCCCTGTACCAGCCAGATCCGTTGGAGAGGACAGACGCGGCTGCTTGCATACCTTTGATGCCGTCACACACCGCGCAAGCAAGCGGCACCCATCCGGGATTCCCACCTCCAGCTAGAGGCCTCGTTGTGCCCAGCCGTGCTCGGACCTGCCGTTGCGGAACTCGACTATAACGTATCTAGCTCTCTGGGCCACCGCGACAGCACCACGATTCGGCTCTCCCGCTGTTCTCGCCTCACAACGTCCACGGGTTGCGCACACGGCTGGCTCTTGGACCAGAGCAGGAGGGAAACCGTTGTCGTGTCCCTCTCATCGCAAACCAGGGTCACTCTCAGCTGTTAGAGCTTGCGGTAGGGTCTGCCAAGGACCCAAACAACCGGCACAATTACCTCTCTACAGTCCATTCTCTCCCCGCCCGACCCGTCTGCCGATGAAACGGCCAACACGCCCTCCGGCCTATCTGTTCACTCCACACCGAAGCGAAAGTTCGAGGAAGCGTTTATTGCCGGGTCTGGAGAGCCTCCGTCGGTGCCCCTGACCCCAACGCTGCCGCCTCCGCCGCCGACCTATCACAACCACTCCATCAAGGGCTTCGTGCCGGTCGGCGGGCCTGGAGCTGGGCATGGGCAGGCCTATGATGAAAGCAGAGGCAGTGCAGGATTTACCGTGATGAGTGCCGTTGATGACAAAAAGGCCGTCATCAAGCGGCAGCCTATGCGGTCGAGCATAGCTTGCCTTCGGTGTCGAAAGTCGAAGATCAAGTGTGACAACGACGGAGGCTCTTCACCTTGCGAGACCTGTATCAAACAGGGCAAGGATTGCAAGTACCCAGAAGCAACGCCCATCCCGCCCAAGCGGAGCGATCCTCCCGCTGGCATCAAGACTGAACGCGACGCTGGGTCAGATCGGAAGCGCCTTAAGAAGATCGAAGACGTGTCACGAGCAGAAGGGCAGCACTCGGCTGCAGCTCACGCTGACGATGTTTTGTCCGCACACTACTTGACGCCAAAATTATGGTCAGAAGTTTTCGACATCTACAGACTTCACTTTGCCACTGAGTTGCCCTTTCTACACGTACCAACCCTCAAGGAGAACATGGGCAATAAGTTCAGGTCAAATCAGAAGGACGCCTCGCCGGACACTAACCTTGTATTGCTCGGAGTTCTCACCCTCACCGCCCGATTCCATCCGGACCTGGTCAAGTATGCTACTCACACGGCCAGCTCGCAAGCAGGGGCGATCAAGAGCCGACCTGTTCAAACCAAACCAGACTCATCAGCTGCGTCTGAATACTTTGCCGAGGCTTTGAGAAAGGCTTTGGGTCCCTTGGGAACGACCATGACCACGGCCTCGGTAGAAAGGGTCCAAGCTTTCTTGATGTTGGGTTTGTACGAGTGGAGCCAGGTGCAACCGAAGACGGGCGGCTTGGGAGCGTGGATGTACGTCGGCGTCGCCATCCGGATGGCTCAGGCTCTGGGCCTCGGTTTCGGAGACAAGCACGATCCCAAGTCTCGAGCGCGAGCAAACAAATCTAGCAAGAGCGTATCGCCGAAGATACCCGCGTCACAGCCAGAGCTGATGATAGCCAAGGAGATCAAGAGGAGGACGATGTTCAGTTGCCTCATTCTTGACCGGTTACTTGCTTGTGGGAAGGAGCGTGTGCCAACTATCCGATCCGAGGACCTCCAGATCCAGCTGCCGTGTAACGAGTGGGCGTTTGACCTGTCGAAGGATGTGAGGACCGGATTTTTGAACGGGTCCCCCGATGATCAAGGTCCCAGGGACGCAGAGGATGACAGCGTGCTCAGCAGGTTCGTGCGGCTGGTGGATCTCTGGGGCGAGATCTCCAAATTCAGCTTCGCGGGCGGTCGCCTGGTTGAGGAGCACCCTCCATGGGATCCACGGACGAGGTTTGCTCAGCTCCGGGAAAAGCTGGAAGCGTTCTATTCCGACCTTCCATCAACATTCACCCTCTCGACCTCCAATTATCATAGACACGAAAACCACCAAGCGTCGAGCGTGTATGTGTCTCTGCACATGCTGGGTAGCGTCTGTCAGATCATGCTCCATCGGTAAGCCGACACTTTTGGTGCTCAAGATGTCTCCAGGGGTTGTTCGCTCAAAGTAAAAGGACCTGGCTAATCGCAATGTAGCGAATACATACCCTTCCTTCCGATTCGCTGTAGCGGTCCCGTTGGCCCGTTGGACGAGCCAACCTTTCCAGCTGGCAAATACGATATCCCGAATGGCTTTTGGGAGCATAGCGCAGAGCAGGTCTTCAAAGCCGCCAAGGACATCGTCGACGTGATCGAAATATGCCGTGATAAGCTACCGATGTCCGCATTGGTGCTTTTTACCATCTGGACAGCAGCCTTTGTTGGGCAATATGCATGGCATTTCCCTCATATGGATCAGCAAAGGCACATGTTAGTGGATGATGAAGAAGATGGCGATGGTTCTGAGGCCGATATGGACATGACAAAAGTCGGCCCGACCGCAGTCTGCCACCAAACCCTTGTGCGCTTCTCAGGGTGGCTCAAGATGGCCTCAACTTATCTTGGTTATTTGTGAGTCAAACGGGTTTCTGCCAACGTCGGAAGAGTCGCGCTGAGCCATGCTCTATACTGTTCATCTGCGGACGATGCTAATTACATTGCTCGAACAGCAAGGATTTAGATAATTACATGGCCAAGATCAAATTCGAATATAGCGCGCTCACCCATGGCAACAACAAAACCGGGACCGCTCCTCAGGACGATGGCAAGCACCCGATTCACGGTGGAGGATTGGAGGAATGGAAAGTACAGAACGCGAAGATCATCAACAATGGCATGATCATGGCAGAGGATGATAGACACGGGCCATACGGATGTTCAGATCAGTCAAGGGCAAGCCCAACGGAGCGCGAATCCCCCACGGGACCCGATGTCCACCTCACCGAAAAGACGCCGCGCTCAATCCCGTCCATGTTCACAGCGATCAACAACGCACCCGTTGGGGGACGCCACGAACTGCCAGGCTCGGGCCCGTTATCCAAAACCGATGGTCACCCCGGTCCAGAGTACACAAGGGCTGGGCCTATGCTGCAAGCAGGGCAGCTATCACCCCCGCCTCTTCACCAGTCTCTGTCCGGGCCTCACGATCTGGACGTGATTTCCGAGGCTCGAGTCCGAGATATACTCAGCGAGAGCGAGTCCATGCGGATCGCTGAAGCCCTGGAGGGCCTTGGCGGAGGCGACATCCAGGGCTTCTCCTACGGGGACATACCGGAGGCAATGCTCTTTGGGCAGACCTTGCCAGGGCTGACTTTTGGGACCTCGAGCAAATGGCAACTGGCGGAAGACACCGAGACGGGATGACCTTTCTCTTTCTGTGAGACGCCTTTTTCTCTTCTTTCTTACTTCTGAGGACATCTTCTCGGGGCTTTTTTTACGGGGAATTCTGGGTGGCAATGTCAAGCGATCCTTGTCCAACACACATATATATAAAAAAGTCCCGCTTCTAGGGCCGGACATTTTCTCAGGCGAGCGAGCATTTTTCGGCGGGGCCACCGCAGTGTGCGAAGCATTGGGTACCTAGACGATGGTTGGGGTTTGGGGAGTTACCATGTCCTACATATGTAGGAACTTTTGAATGAAATTTCAATGAGGACTTTCTCCTCTCAGTTCCATCAGGCCACGCCAAGCGGGAGTGTAGGTGAATCAACCTGTTGCCGTATCATTTAGCGTCTGGCCGTAGCTTTCTTCATGCAAGTATGCTGAATCAGCGATCGCGGTCAAGACATCAACACAAACGTTGTCGATGCCAAGCCGGTGTGGTACATGTAGCTCTGGAGGTGGCCAGCACCCCCAGGCACTGCAGTATTTGCGCACATACCTCTAAAGACCCTCACAATTCAAACAACCGTGGGACAAGCCTTTCTGCCCTCGGGATTCTACAATGCAGAGTGTGACGAAGCAGACATTTATCCAGAGACTATACTATAAAGTCGGCCGTAGAAATAGTACAGTGTGCCGGTGCCGGAGGCCGGACATCACCGAACCTCCGAAATGTGGTCAAATGAAGACACACAGACAAGACGTCCTCCAGTCATTTAGTCCAGGTGGTTACAGCACGCAAATTGGTCTTCCCTGCGTGAACGTAACGGGATCTTCTTCGCAAGTCAACAGTGTCCGTAACCTGCGTGTCTATTACAGCACGTTGGACAATTATATGCACCCAGCTATGTCTGCCAGCACAAATCTTGGAGCTCCCCTCGAAGCTCTTGTATTCTATAGCCGCATCCCGCCCGTCTTGGGCGGTCCCAATCATTATTCGTCACCCAGCCTACGCCAAGCCCAATGCAATTGTATCTGTGAATGTGAAACAGACTTTCTTCATTTGAGTTTCCCTCCCCCGGGGATCCCCCAGACTCCTTTATTGACCACACACGCCCCCTTAACTGCCGCCATTATATCTCGACCTCCCGGTTCCACCTCGGAAGTAATTATAACTCATAGGGTCCTCATATTCCGATTCGGCCTGCGGTAGGTTACCGTATCCCTGGGGCCCACCGCCTAGTGCACCAGGTGGCATTGCTCCAGCTCTGGGCCGGTCAAAACTTGGAGTGCCGTGGTCGATACTGGCGCTCCTAGAGCCAGCGTCGTTTGCGTAATAACCGACTGGTGGTGATGCTATCGGTGCGGCTGATTGGACTAGGTTTGACGTGGAGTCGCTGGCTGCGACAAGGCCGTATGGTGACCGTGTTCTCGATGGATAATCCATGGCTGGCGAGCCATAGGGCGGCATCCTCGGTGAATACTGGGCCGAAGGACTCGCGTATCCAGGTGCAGGCCCCATGCCGTCGCCTCCGACACCATTGACCGATGTTGCCGCAAATCCACCTTTGCTTCCGCTGAACATCATTCCCCCTGTCGGTGTGCCTGGCCTCGAATCCGTGTCTGACCCGCCAAAGGTGCTTGAAGGCGTGCCGGGTCGCATCATGTCCCTAGAATGGCCGAACAAGTCCCCCTGCCCGTGGTCTTCGGCAAATTCGCTGCGGTTTTTGTAGTACTCAAAGTCAAGCTTCCCTTCTGGGACGATCTCAAAGCCTGAAAGACCGCTCGCAGCTGCCTTGCCTGGCCTTCCTGCGCGCATGGGATCGAGAGCGTAGGTGTCGCTATACCCGGACACGCTGGTGCCTTCTGCCGACCCAGTCTCACGTCCGTCGCTAAGCCGACCCTGATACACGCTTGCGAGAATATTTTGCGCCTTTGCATGGACCATGGGCGTAATGAGTGGCCTGTAAAGAACAGGGTGGCCGAACTTCGATGCCAGGCGATCATTTTTCAGGTTCTCCTTGCTTGCGATGCCGACTTCTGGCTCAGGGCCACGGGGAACGAATCGGGTCGAGTAGTAGTGTATCTTGCTGTCAAAGGCCTTGGCGCAGTAGATCTTGAACCCGATGACGATGAAGGGCAGCGGAACCACGGCATAAGCCTGGGTGTAGGTGCTTCGCATGAACGCAACCAGAAATGCGACGAGGTTGGAGAGAACAAGCGCAAACAAGACGCGGTTGAAGAGGACCCGCCATGACATGCCGCCACTCTCGTTCTTGGTGATGAAAACGTACATGAGAAGGTATTTCTTCAAGATGCAGTCGATAACGAAGAACAAAGCAACGGATGGCAGGACAAGAGGTTGAATGACGCCATAGCATAGAGCGACGGTGGCGTAGTAAAGGCAGTAGTTGTAGTAACTGGCATATTCGAAAGATTGCGGGGCGGTGAGCTCGATCATCTCCCGCGGCGTTGGGGATCCTAGCTTGCGCAGGATGAAGCTGAGGATGAGACTCCAGACCTGCGCAAGGTCGACAGCCGTACTAAGCTGGCGCTGTAAAAGGTAGGTCACCCAATAAGGTGAGATTTTGCAGAGGGCGATTAGAACGGAACCCCCGAAATCCTGCTCCACAATCGCCTTCCACGCGTCGGTACCGCTGTTGGCGTCTTCTAGCACGTTTGCCACAAAGGTCCACATGCCACTGAACAGGGAGAAGACGATCAAGTTGTTGAAAATAAAGAAGCTGAATAGCTTGCCGATGACATGGCGTTCTCGACCAGATTTGGTCTGGTCACCGCCCCTCATTGACAGCCGGCGGAAAATGATGGGGAGCAGCAGGTACACCAACGACGTGATTGCTGGTGATGCAATACCCTGTACGATAGACCAGAACACAGGACTGGTCTCTAGTGAGAGCTGGAAGTCGTGCCAGACGGACCCGAGGTTGCTGAGATTGACCAAGAAAATGGCTATCATAGCGTTGGGCGCAATCCACAAAAGGGTCAGGAGACCGATCCACATGCTGATAAACAGCCTCTTTCTGGCACGAGTAGCGGCCGACAGGGGCATGTTGTCCCAGATGATGTCGCTGGGTCGGGGGGCAAGCTTGATAACGGCACTCTGTGGCTTTTTCTTCCGGGCGGCGTATGCGATCGCGTGTGCCTCGCTAATGTCTGAATAGGAAGCAAACCCAAAAGGTCTGGTGTTGCGCTTGTCCACGCTTGTCCTTACTTCCTTGATCTCGTACTCCAGTGTCTTGATCCTCTGTGTGAGGTACTCGATCGCGTCGACCTTTTGCCCCTTAGGGTAGGTGGAGTACGACGGGTCACTCTTTGAGGGCGAACAGACTGGCCTGGCAGCCGGGAGGCTGTGAGGATCCTTGAGGTACTTGGACAGGACCTTCTCCAATTTTCGTACACATTTCTCGTGCTGTTCCACCAGTTTCGGCAGAATCTTGACGTCGCGCGCAATGGCAGTTCTTGAGAAGGACGAATTTGGAGCAACCATGTCGATGAGTCTGGCGATTCCCTCGTCCGATGAAAGTTTTTTGGGTATATCGTAGAGCTACATCATGCTGTCAGTTGCTGATGCTCGGTTCAGGGGATCGCCCCGGCAGATGCTTTACGCACCATAAGAGTCCTGGAGTGCAAACTCTGCTGATACTCTGGACTCTCGAAGTATTCTCGACGCAAGTGCAGAACCTTCCTATAGTTCCACCACAAGAAGCCAAGCACGACTATGTTGAAGAGCCAGGCGGAGAGAACGGTGGCCCACTGCGCCTCGTTCCATACGTTTGAAGGGGTCAAGCGCATGAGCCAGGTGTCGCTGTCGAATCGAATGGACTGGGTGTAATTGACGGGAACCAGGACAGCACAGCCTATGATAGCCATAATGATAAACATGTTGCGCAGCATATTGATGAAGCGCAAGAAAATCACGGCGTCCAAACCGGCCATCCGGATCATGTCCTTCTCCGTGGTCTGCCATAATGGCGGGACCCACGAGAATGGGCCTTTGCCCAGCGGTGGTGGTGCTCGAGATTCGTCGGCATGTTTCAGCTTGGGCGCGTACACGACGGTGTGGTATGGACGGAAGAAGGAAAACAACAGGACGACGGCAGCGGTGACACCCAGCGATGAGGCCAAGGAAGCCCAAACGGAGGAAGTAGCGAGCTGTGGACGGTCGCTGGTTAGTGCTCAGATTCCGCGGCACGGGAGAATGGACAAGTGAGCGAACGACTTGCCTCGCTGGAGAAGGGATCGGATATCAAGTCGAGCAGCTTCTTGCCGGGGTCATCACCCTCTTGCCTGGCGACGAAGCGCGTGGCCATCGATAGGTGCTCCATCGTGTGCTTCGTCTCGAGTAGTTGCGCGCCCAGCACGGGGCAATCGACCTATTCCGTTCCACCAACGGAGGCGTGAAGCGCAAAACGCTGTGTCGCGAGAGGACGAGGGCCAACGCGAGGTGAGGTTGACGGGTCGAGAAGCGGTCGGGGCCCGCGTCAGGTGCAACGGGGATCGTCGGGAGGCGATGTCCAGACAAGATCGAATTTTGCTCCCCTTTGCCCCTCTTTCTCGACTCGCAGATGCTGGGAGGGCAGAGGCAGGACAAAGGAGGCTCCCTGTCGCTCAGCCAGGCAATACCCGACGAAAATTATCGCGGCCCTGGACAGTGAAGCCTGTGGCCTGTGGCGTAATTGAAGTAAGATGCGGTCGAGTCGAGTGGCTTCGCTTCGCTTCGCTCCGAGGACGGGGTGGTCAATGTGCCATCTGGACCGTCGGTTGATCAGTATCAAACGAGTGGATGACGCAGAGTCGTCGATAAGCACGGTCACGGGAGAGAAGGCCAGATGGTGTGCCGAGTCCACACGGGAGACGTTGAGAGGGGGGGGGAGGGCGTGCAGTTGTAATGTGGAAAAGGGAAGAATAAACAATGACGACAATAGCGGCTTGTTGAGGGCGAGGGCGGTTGGTGGGAGAATTCCGGGCCCCCGGTACTCTTGAGGAGCCCCAGGTCCTAGTATAGTGGTGGCAGCCGGCCGTCAAAGCAGAGCGATGCAAGGGATGGCCTCGATCTGGAATTCTGGAGATGGAAAATTGTGGAGGAGGGGCCCGGCCCAGCCCCAAAAGCAGCAACGCAGGCGGCTCAGAAGAACCTCTTCTGGGCCGCGTCGACGGGCCCGACGAATAGAAGCAGGATTTCCCTGCCCGTCCGGAAAAGTCTATCTGCTGGACTGCTGGACTGCTGGACCAACTGCAACTGCAACGCAATGCAGGGCCGCGCCATCGACAGACAGCGTGGGTTTAGCCTGCATACAGATCCGACAAAACAAGTGGTGATAAGCCTTGCCTAGGTTCTGACAGTGGGCCCGATGACCTCAGAGCCAGCAGTCCCCTGGCACGCGCCAGCAGGGACCGCGGTTCTCCTTGGCCCTTCAGGCTCTGGAGGCCCTGACCAAAAGTGGTACCGAACCTGCCTCCCCTGAACAGAGAACACTAACAGCAGCAATGGCCTTGTTGGGGTTGGCTGACTCCCAGATTGCTGGTTCTGCCCACGGTACCTGGGTACATACGGCACAGTAGCGTACACTAAGACCTGAGGCAGGAGGTGAGCGCGGTGCTGCTATTTTAAGCGAACTGACTTGGTTGTCAAATCTCGTATTTCCACAAAGGAAGGGGAGGTCGACATCGCACCCGTCTCACGCAACCAATACGCGTCTCGTGCGACTGGACGACGACGATTTTCCTCTGCATGTGTTGAAGATCCGGCCAGCGCTCCTCAGTCTGGCCTTAGTGTGTTGTCCGTCTTGCCTGTTCCACTCTCCTGTTCCTTCGTCACCTGCCTCTCCGTGCCTCTCCAGTGTTGATGACCACGGCATTCCCGCTGTCCCGCTCCGCGAAGGTGGCTGTGTCCACTCATCCGGCGAAAGAGTGGGCCCCTGACGAGACCCTTCATGCCTGGGAAATAGTGATGTTCAAAGATCTGTAAATGATCTGTTATTAGAGCTCTCGACATCCTTGGAGACAGTTGCTCCCCTTTCCCAGCCTGCCAGCCTCCCGACCCAGTACACAACCAAAAGAACCGCAGAATATGGTAATCAAGTATCGCCCTCAATAAGATGGCAGCACTGCGTGACGAGATTGTCAACGTCCAAGGCCCACCATCTCGTGAGATCAGAGATCGACTCAAGCGACCCTAAAAATTAGCCCAGTCAACAGTACGCAGCTCTCGTAAACGATCTTACCGTCGGACCGAGCACCAAGATCGGCCGCTTCCAAAGCGCCGTTGCGAGCCAAGGACGCCGCCGCCTGCGGGATCACCACGCCTCTGCTGGCAACGCCGTCCCGAGGGCTAACAACCTCAGCCCTGTTGAAGAAAAAATCATTTTGCCCTTTTAGCGCAGCCCGACCGGGCTGGTGGGCTGGTCTGGGCCATGCTGCTGCGGCTAAAAGGATTTGGGAATTCTCTTCCGCGCTAACAGACGACCAACTGATATGCCAGTAGACTTCACATGTAGTCACGATCAGGATTCACTGTATGTCATTGTTCATCAGCCCATGATGGGTGAGAGGCAGATACCAAGGAAGGATGTGTAGAGATTGGCCTACCGTACTGCATACCAGTACCTCCTATGCATGCGTGTCAGAGACTGGCTCTGACAATTGAATGGATCATGGCAGAGTCAATACCTTCTGCCATGTCTCACACAACACCGGCCTCTCCCCCATCAACAAGCACGGGGTGACAAGGTGACGTGTCAACACCATTCACTGCTGCGTGACTGGGACTTCACCCATTGCTGGACTTCATAGCAGGGAGAGTTGGCTATCATTGTATTAACATAAATGTGCTCACGTTCTGCTTCGTATAGCATGGTTGCTTCTGACTTCCTTGCTACCAAGCACAGCTCTCATGTCTCCAAGCATAGCGCCAGCCGCCGGCGGTTCTGGGTCGAGAGCAGAGAGCGGCCTCAATAATGACATGATATTACCAAATACAATCTGCACAACCTTGAAACTTTGACGCTGGACCGCTTCGGGACAGTCTTCAGCTCCTCAAGTCAAGAAAGAGCTCAGATCGGCACCATTTGCTGGAGGGGTTGCTGGTCTGCCTGCAAGCGCTGCAGGCTCTTTGCCTCTGAGTAGTGTGTCGCCCTAGGCAATCGAAGGCGAGACTGGCGATGTGTTTGCTCCAGCACTAGTCTTGTAGGGAATTACAATGCTATTTCATTCATTTGATAATTGTTTGCATTCCTTTGCCGAACCCAGACCTCTGTCACTGTGGACCAACCTGGACCTCAAACGTTCGCGGGCTTCCGTTCGTCGGCTCAAAAACTCACCCTGCCTCGGTACTATTGTTGTGAATTTGAGGAACCTTGTACAGCACAATGGCAAAATTTGCGCTCGTTGAGCGAGCTGATGTGCCGATATCCGCTTTATTTACCTCTATGTCTTCCTACGGACATCTGAAAATATCTTCAGGCTGGGTGAGCTGTGATCATCATGGGCCACCTGCATAATTCAATCGAAGTCATGGAAGCAAGTGGAGAAGGGTATAAGTCACTCAAAGCAGTTTCTAATTGAGACAGACTAGTCTTCCAAAGCCTAAATACAGTAAGCCAGAAAGAGTCGCTTCTGTCCGAATGAAAGTAAAGGCACTTGTGACTGCCAGTGCAAACAACAGCCTCGGTGACTATGTACCGTGCTCGCACCTTGTAACACTTATCTGAGAGTCACTCAAGGAACACTTGTGCTTGCTTTCCCCAGATTATTTGAAGGGAGACCCAAACCAGGACCTCATTCTTTGACAGAGCGAATACGACTCAAATCCGACATCTACATCAACACTGCGACTCGTTCGCCTCAACTTCTGGGGAAGATACACTTCGCATACATCCCAGGTCAGAATCACTGCCCATCCGTCAGATCACAACAATCAACCTGGGAGACATTGATCATGGACAAGCACAAGAACCAGCACGAAGAGTCATCCTCAAACTTCACATCCGGGGCTCCGAACCCCTCACGTGAGCCTGGATCTGTTCGACAGACTGAGAGCAGTATGCCTCTGGTTTCCGGGGTGAACTCTCTCAATCACAACAAGACCTCCCAGATTGTCCAATGGCTCGCCCAGGTCGAATCGGACAAGGAGAACCAACAATCCCCATGCACACCCTCCACCACGACCCCAGCCTCGCAGCCTCCCCAGAACAACGCCGAGTTGGTATCGACTTCTGCCGCCTCAGCCCAACAGGCGACCACTGCACCAGCCCCGTTGCCACCCACGAAGAAGTTCGTGTACAAGAAGGTTAGACGCGGCGCACTGCTCGGTCTGGGCGGATCTGGAGGATGGGTTCCCGCGAGCTATGTCTGGGTTCGTGTGCCGGCTGAGACGACTGCCACCGCGAAGCCGGGCCAGCCCCCATCTTCACCCATGCCTCAGGACGACAGCGAGTCCCTCCGAATTCAAGACGAGAGCAGCCCCCTAGTCGCTCCACCGAACTCTGAGGCTGACACCCAGAGTACGATCCGCGCCGGAGAGCCGGCTTGCAACGTTAACGGCGAGCCACGTCAATGAGAACGGGGCGGCCCCTACGTCCTTCAGGGCTTGTCTGCCTGCTCAGGTTCCTAGTCAGCCCTGAGGACTCTCATCCGGCTAGTGGTATTGCACAGATGGATGAAGACTGGTTGGCAAAAAACGGGAGTGGAGTTCTGACCGTTTTTGAGGGTTCTGCCGGTCTGTCAGAGCATAGCTTGCCTTGGAAGGCCGACATTTGGCGAACATGGACGATTGACGAGAGGGCGGGCCAGAATAACTCGGGGCAATTTGATGTGTTGTCACGAGGTTGTCATGGAGGAGAGGAGGGAGGCAGAGTCAGGCTTGCGGTAGAAGGTCTGTGAGCGATGCAGTCATTGTCTTTTGGAACCGTACGGGCTGATACTTTGAGCTCGTACGATGAATTGGGATCAACGGATGAAGGTCATGCATCCACGTCAATACACTTTCAGACCTCATCTCAATGTGATGGACACCGCAAAAATGAGCACGTACAGGTCGCATAAGACTGCTGGGGAGCAGAAGAACCCTTGCGGATCCAAGGCAGTCGGACAAGCTCTGGCCGCGCTTTGACCGCAGGGATAATGCGAGTCTGAGAGGAATGAACCTGAGCATGGCGAGGCATCATGTAACTCTCCTGTCCATCTGCCATGAGCATCGAAAAGCTTCTCAGTCCAGGTCCCGTGCAAGTGTGTAAACAGGAACGACTCTGTTTCCTATTCAACAAGGGCCCAGATCGGGAAGATCAAGTGGTATAACGTTTAGCCGAAAAACGATCGTGGGAGTTGAAGGCACGTGAATCCGGCAATGCGTTCCGTTTTTGATGTGCTGCCTCTCCCATGGTGGCTGAAAGGGGTACTGGCGTTACCTTGTATGGACATAACAGGCTCCTGTGGGGTATTGTACTACTAGATTTATTTTTAGTTTCTCTTTACATTAGAGGCGCGCAGTACTGGGCCTTGTCCATGTTGTAGTCCTCATAGAACCCCTCCCACATCACGCGATCAGCACATCTCGGCCGGTCGTCCTTCTCCTTTTCGTCCTCGTCACACTCGGGCCGGACCTTCTCCCAGTCAGCATCAGAGTGGTGCCTCCAGGGCTTCGGCAGCGGCCAGTCGCTAAAGTGGACCAAGTACGCCCTCGAGACCTCGCACATCGCGTTCCAGTCGTCGTCCTCGTCGGGCGCGAGGTACCTCCGGTGGTCCTTGGCGCGGAACTCGCCCGTCAGGAGGGCCAGCCGCCGGTGCGGCAGGATCATGACCGAGTCCTTGAACAGGTGGTTTATGACCTCCATGTCGAAGTCGCCCGAGCTGAGCGCCTCGCCGACGATCCTGTTGTGCCGCCCCTCGTTGGGCTCGAGCAGCATCACGTGCGAGCCCAGCACCTGCTCGGCGATGGCCGCGTCCTTGTCGTTCAGCCAGTACGCGCGCGGGACCGCGAGGGCGGCCAGCGGGGCGAGGAAGTAGTGGTCCATGTTATTGAGCACCTGCGAGTCCGAGTCGAACGCGAGGACGCGCGTGTAGTCGGTCAGGTTGAACGCGTGGAACTTGGTGAGGCTCTTGGCCCATGTTATGTCGCCCTTGTGCGTGGTGAGAAGCTCAAAGGGACGGAGGCCAAGCTTGGGAAGTGCGGTCTGGATGTTCCTGATAGCTTTTGCTTCCTTTGAATCTCCTTCCGTCCACTGGCTCGGGAAAATCAAGACCTGATCGTATTCGCTGCCGAATCTTTGCAGGCGGTAGAAGTTAATCACCTGATGCCGTTGTGTCAGCCAACTCCGCCGTCCAAAGAGACTTGATTGCTGAGCGTTTCTGGCAGAGACTCACGGCATTGCACAGATAGTCAATATCCGTGGCATATTGCACGTAACTTTTGCACGTAACTTAGGCAAACCGGGGCTCAAGCTGCTCGGTGGTCCAGAATGGATCAAAGTCCTTGAAAAACGAGGGAATTGTGCTGTTGTTCAAGACATGTTGGAGAGGATTCTGTATGTAGTTGTGCTTGAGTGACTGGTAGCCCGTCAGAAGAACGAAGACGAAGACCACACAGGTCAGCGCCATCGTCCGTTTCAAGGGCAAGAGCATGATCGCCCGCAGGGAGACTTCGTATTTTTGCAGCTTTGATGAAATCTTGACTCGACCTCAAGGCGTTCCCGAAATACAGCTTGGGAGCTCTTGTCACCGCTTGCTCGTATCCATAAAGATTCGGGATGGAAGATCGACATTGAAAATTGGCAGAGGTGTTCAAGTTAGTTATGAGGCCGGAGGGAGAGGGAGAATGTTTGACATGGATTGCCGGGGAAGTGGTTCTACAAAAACCCTCTACTCTGAATCCAGCAAGGCCCTCGGAGAAGCTGCATTTTAGGAAGAAGCTGCTATTCTAATGATCAAGTGGTACGTAAGTCGCACCCTCGTGGGCCGTATTCGACTTGGCAGCGGGACCTGGCCGGCGCTAAGCTAACTAAGCAAGTGCTTTGCACGGAGTGTAGTTGTAGCGGTAGAGTCGAATGAGGCTCGCAGTATCTCCGTTTTCACCCCCTCGGTCGTTGATCGAGCCAGGGGGGTTCATTGGCGCAAGTAACCTCGTATCCAGCTGTCAAATACTCAGACATGTGGAGACAAGCGCCCTGACACGGCTGTCAGAGGTGCTGGAAACTGTCCGCGCCTGAATATCCACTTGTGAACCGAACCCCCGGGTTTCACCTACCTGGCATGCCTCGCCTACAAATATGCAAGCCGACTTTTCAACATACATTACTGCTGTTGAGTCGAACATCTTGCATCCCTTCTTTGTTGAAATTCTGGGTTGATTTATATATTCCAGGCTAAAGCCAGCGAAATCCCCAACCCATGGCGGAGAGCATTTGCTTGAGTACATGTTCGCATTGGCGAAGCACACAAATTACGGCTGCGGTCGTTCTCGCATTGGTAAATCCTACGCTCTGATTTTATGTCGAAGACAACTGGATCTGACAAGCAGACTTATAGCTTTCGTGTCAAAATGCTGCCAGCGTACTTGTAAGTTGATGCACTTACATAGACGAGATTGTCTTCGAATGTCCCACTGACCGAGGATGATCAACACATCAGTTGCAGCACAAGCTACAGACTCGCCAGGTAGATGACTCTGTGCGGTACGAGCCTTTGAGCGCTGTCGTCCTGTCAGAGGGCCTCAAGATGCTCATCTCCCTCGCCGTCGCCGCACATGGCTTTTTCAGCAATACCGAGGATAGCGCCGCACATTCTCCCGATTTCCTGAGCCACGTGCTGGCCGGTCACGACAGCTCCGCTGTGCCAGCCTTTTTGTACACGCTCTCAGCCACGAGCCAGAGCCTCGGAGCATACCACCTCGACATCCTGCCGTACCTGATGCTCTCGCAGGTCAAGCTCATCCTCACGCCGGTGTTCAGCAGGGCGTTTCTCAAGCAGACCCTGCAGCCGCACCAGTGGCTGTGCCTGGTCGTCATGACGACGGGCATGGTGTTGGTGCAGGTTGGCTGTGCAGCGCGTTCTTTTGGCGCGCCTCGCGCGGATGATGCAGGGAAAGACATGATCTTCGGAATTGTCGCGATGCTAGTTGCAGGATTCTGCAGTGCCTTTGCTGGTGTGTACATGGAGGCCGTCCTCAAGACCTCAGAAAATAGCTTCATGGTTCGAAACGCCCAGCTGGCAGGATATACTTGCCTGTGTGCTCTCGGCGGACTGATGTGGCAGTCGGATCTGGGGATGGAAGGGAGCTTCCGCGGTTATACCGTTTTGGTCTGGGCCTTGGTCCTGTTGCAAGCCGTTGGCGGATTCCTGGTGTCGTGGGCAGTTCGCATAGCGAGCACTATTGCCAAAAACTATGCCCAGAGCTTGGGGTTTCTGGCAGCCTTGACAATCCCACTCGTCTTGTCGCCTCACGCATTAAGTACTGAGGTAAGCGTTCAGGGTCTTGCAAACTGTAGCTGTGTATTAACTTGTTTCCAGCTATATTGTGGCATCGCATTGGTCCTGGGAGGTGTCTTTGGGTCGTTGTGGAAGAAAGAAGCGCCTATCAATCCTGCAGAACGGCTGGAGAAGGACGAAAAGCCCAAAGATGCATCAATGGTATGATGGCTGTTGCGAAACTAATTATACCCTGATTCAGACATATTTCTTTTGCAATTATAGACTACACATACCCAGGCAGCTCAGCGATTAACATAGTATTTAGCGGGCGGGTGGATCTCTTAGCACCCCGTCGTATAACAGTTCGTCTCGTATTGACTGTTGGCTATTTATTCAATTCCAGCCCTTCACAAAATCAATTGTCAAAGCGATTCATATATTACAGTAATTGTAGTAGGAAGACGGAGTCTGGGAAAGATGTTATTGTTGATGAAATAAGTAGGCTCATGATTATCTTTGAGCAGGGGGGAGTTGTTGTACCCTTTCTGAAACCGAGCCCCATCCTCCTCAGATGAATTCACCGCCATGGCATTTCCTATGTCCTGATATGGCCGTGTAGACGTGAACATTATTTCAGATGCTTCCAGAAAACCCTTTTATGGAGCTAAGCAGATTGAGCAGACATTATGAGTTGTGTCCAGATTGGATACTGGGTAGTGATAAGTCTATGCTTGATGGTAGCTCATCCATGCTTCGGGGCGGAAGGTCTGGTGTAGAGTACCCTAGGGTATGGTGGCCTCATCCTCCGCATCGTAATCCGTGATTTTCTTGCCGAGATTAACCAGCTTATTGGATTCCTTCGGACTCAAAGAGACTCTGAGAAGATCGTTAATTTCCTTCTTCTTATTAAAGTCCTTGAGATCCTCGTCCTTTAAATACTCCAATGTAGCGTTAGCAGCATAGCGCATAATTTCTTGGGGCATGTTACCCAAATTCTTGGCCAAGATGGTTAATATAAAGTTCAAAGTTGCTCACGTTGCCCAGGTCCGCGGTCGCTATCTAAGACCCTTAACCAGGGCTTCTGCGCCAGAAAGAATGCCGCCACCTCTTAACAGTGGTCGGGGTAGAGAGTCTTCTTGTGTGCTGGGTGCTGTCGTCTGTAGCTTTGATACCCTAAAGGCACAAGACCGCGTCTTGCCTCTCAATTCGACAAAGTCTTGTAGAGATTGGTTGTCCATTTTGGTCTATTTATCAACGTTAGAAGTTTGTGGTTGTATTGTGGCTGTGGTCTCTTTAGGCTTACCGTGGCGAGGGCTTCTTCGGGAGCTTGTGTGATCTTGCGATTTCTTCAGATGATCTTTTTCGAGTGTGTGTGGATGTGGGATGGAGAAGTCAACCGGGACTGCAGCCGTGGAGTCTTTTCACACGAGGCTTTTGTGAGACTAGATTGCTCGCCGCGTGACTGATTGCCCGAAGTTGGCGCAGGTCAGTGATGGGCCACTTGTGTCGACGGATCTGGTCTGCCGCCGGTCTCAACTAGCCTCGTCTGTGCGGCATCACGAGGCTCCCAAGGTTCACGATTGTATTCACGTGTTTATTGTTATCGGCATTGTATATCTATTAACGCTAGGTCTTTGAGCGTTTACCACTGTATGATGGGACCGCCTACGGCTTTGAAAGAGCATGTACACGGATTAAGAACGAAACCACCCCTCTCAATTTCAATCTGCGTCGCAGCCACGGGCGAAAACCTGGAGTCATTGTAGAGTTTTTGCGCTTTGATCTCCTGGAATGGAGATTCCGGGCTGGAATTTCAACGGTTTCAATGCCAGTGAACTGTTCCGATGCTGTGTGTATGGACAATCCTGTTCTGAGTCGATTTTGTTGTAGTTGGATACGTAGTATTGTGATGAGTGCAAAAGAGTTTGCAAGCGAGCTAAGATCGGGAGCTGCCCTATGCGGATATTTAAATCACTCATTTTGGTCAATTTGAGGCCTGTTCATGTGGCAAAGGCCCCGGGGCACTTTGAAATAGTACTTGATGATAGCTTCGACCTTGAACGGATGGTGGCACTGGCACGAACCGGCACGGCTTAGCGCTTAGAATCATGGCGCGACAGAAAGGCATTGTACGGAATAGTGATTTGTCGAAGGTTAATAGTGGTTTCTTTCTAATCCCCCAGACATATAAAATGTATGTGGTGCCATCATACACGGGCATGGTAGGGAGCTATAATGTGTGGACGCAAGGTTTTCGAGCACACTTGCCTGTGAAGGCCAGACTTCCAAATGAGGTTTGCTCAAGACGTACATAAGATAGAGATAAATGAATACAATTACAATGCAGTTTATCAGCCCCGGAGTTTATCTGATATTCTGGTTCTCCTTAATGTTTGTCTCGGAGTTGCAGTGGGAAGTATTTAATTACCAGGCTCTCCTTCTGCATACTCTCGTGCTGCTACGAGAACAACAAGAAACTGCGGCGCGGTTGTCCCGGAGTCCAGGGGGCATTCGGCATCCTTCATAGTGGTGCACTCAATGCCCGGCCATATATCACAACGGGCCGGGAATGGCTGAGGCCGCTATCATCTGGCAAGAAAATGAGATCACAGTAAATCATGTTTATTACAGCGGTCGCTATCTAGATATAATGCACAAAAGCCATTCCAAGTCCCAGCCGGAAAGCATCCTTCAGTATGGCCACCCCAGTAGAATGCTCAAACAACCACGGTAACAACTAATATACAAAGGTAACCCTATCCACAAACAAATGGGGAAGTAAACAAATGAGAGATGGAAAGGTGGTCGGGTCTTGGTTTCAGACTGTTCAAAGGAACAGACTTACTTATCCAGAACACCGCGAAAAGGTGCCCAACCATGCGTTCTGGGCCGCAATCAGCACTCACTAAGTGGCGGGGCCTCCACCGAACTCACTCAAGAGAAGCTTCTCAGGCCTTCAAGTGCACGTGCTCACGTGCTGCTGTGCTGTGTGCTGTATGTAAGGTAACTCGCTAAAGATAGAAGAAAAATTTGCTTACCGGATCATCAAAGGTTGCCGTCGATGGCGGCGGCGACGGCGCGCACGCGGGCCTCGCGGGCGCGGGGGGCGGGGTCCCTGCAAATTTCAATGATCAGCCATGCCTGACACAAAGCCGGATTCAGAGAGGCGTTGTGACAGAGAACTTCCTAGAACATATGGAAGTGTTGGCTCTGGGAAATGGTTGGAGGGGATGTCGTGCAAGATGGATGTTGATGATGATGTTTGGTGGATGGGGTGACGTCTAATGTTGACAGGATGTCTCCTGAGTTGTGGCTGGGCCAGGAATTGTGACTTGGCAGTGCCGGATGATAAGGAATCAAGGGCCTTGAGAACTCACATCTGCTGCTGTTGTATTGCTGCTGTTGTTGTTGTTGTTGGTAGAAGAGGAAAGACGGACGAGAAACGAGTTGAGGATAAATACTCCATCTCGAAGACCGGAGGTTCCTTCCTAGGTATCCTAGATTAAAGATGAGATAGATGGGAAATGACTACCCTTGGGTATAAAGTTTAAAGCACGGGAAAGTGTTTTCGGGACTTGATGAGACAAGTAGAAAGAACGACTTGCGAATAAGCAGATATGAAAGAGTTGATGTAGGAGCTACCATCTGTGAAGGGAAGCGTGAAGTGTCAATTATTTGGATGCCCACGAACACGGGAATATTGACAGAAGGCTGACCCGTGGCCATCTTCGATAGGACTTTTGCTATCACTGCCATGAATGACATTCTCTAGATGTGATTCACATTGGCCACATTGGTAACACAGAATACATAGAGTACAGGTATAGACAGTCAGCTATTCTTTCGCTTATGGGTATATTGAAGATATGGTCCCCTCGATCTAGCCTAAAGGATGAGTCAAAACGTATATCATGGCCATCAACATCCAAGCAATCGACGCGTAGGTATTTGGAATGCTCAAGTCAATCAAGTGGTCGCATGTAAAGCCCGGCCATGCATTGCAGAGATGGCGCCATGTCATGCTTTGGTTTCCTCAAGAGGAGTTCCAGCCACAACCTCGGAACAAGACGTACAACGACGTGTCACGCATCCAATAACTTAGGAGCCACGGTGGACATGATTATCGTTAATTTCTACCCCTATATCGGTCCCGTAGTAATTTTATTATCCGCATTTCAAGCCTCTTAATATATTTTTACAGCCCTTTGAATGTGACCCCGGTGTGGCAAGGCAAACCAAGTTAGAGACGAGAGATCATATGGACAGCTAGCTACCGCTATTGGCTGGACGGGTGTTGCAAGGCGGATATAGCATGAAAGTGCCCAGCTCACGACTGCGGCACTGCCCCCTCAGCTGAGGGCTACAGTACGTACGACTGCCTAATCACTGTCCGGCAGTTGGGAAGGGTACCGCGAGGCTCGCCGACCAGGTACCGGTTAGGACCTACGAGGCTGCCAGTGCGGCACGGCTGACAAACCAATCACAAAAGCGGCAGCGCCGACCGCATCACAGGTATTACACTCTAGAACACGGCCCAAAGCTTTTCTGGCGGCGAGTAATCAAATGCTCATGATTCATTTAGGATCGAGGCCGTCGTGAGTGCAAGTCAACGTCGATTCTGCTTTTCTGCGCTCATAGCAGCGTATATACAATCATCATGAGCGCAACAGCGGAACTCAAAGCAAACCGGAAGCAGGACTTGACCGTCACAAAGATCAGTGAAAGGCAACAGAAAGCAAAACTCCAAAGCCGGAGGCACCCATTTTCCGCCCGTTTCCGCTGTCGGGCCCGCAGAACCTTCCAACCCCGACCTAAGAAGGAATGAAGAAACCTCACCTACTGGTGCTCGTTCATAGTGGCCACTTCGAGGCCCATACCATACCACAACGCTGCCCGATCATTTAAACTCCAGTCGCACACCGGCGGGTCACTCAGTCAGCATTTCCCTGACTCCTCGTTTTGCGCGCCGTGCGGCCTACAGGCGGAGGCGCAGCCTCCTTCTTGCCTTTCTTGCTAGCCTTCCGAGTCGGGCCGTTTTCCTTCTTGGCGCCGCCTTCAGCCTTCTCCTTGACCTCCTCGACAACTTCCTTGGCCTTCTCAACGACCTTGCCAACCACACCCTGCTTCTGCTTCTTCTCGGCGGGTTCCCCGGCCGCGGTGGCCCCATTGGTGCCAGTCGCCTCAACCTTGCGTTTCTCGCCGGTCTCTGCGGTGGTGGTGCTGGCCTCAATGTTGGAGTCAGGGTCAGTCGTGGCTGCGGGAGCTGGCGCCGTTTTCTGTGGGGCAGCTGGCGCCGCTGATGAGGCTGCAGGAATCGCAGGAGCTGGAGCTGCGGCGGCACTGTCCTTCATCTCGACATCCTTGTCGACATCCTTCTCGTTGGCACCATTCAGCTCGGCGGGCTTGGGAGCTGCAGTAGCATCCTTGACACCGTCGTCGTTGGTTGCCTCGGCCGGCTTTGGCTCGGAGGCACCAAGTGCTCCAGTCATAACGGGCGTCTGGGCGGGAGCAGTCGACTCAGAAGCGCTTTCTCCTGGGACTGCCGCAGAAGAGGCCGGGTTCTCCACAGCAGGGGCGGGAGCTGCGGTATCGGCCTTTTTCTCCTCTGGGACCACAGGCTCGAACTTGGCCCCGGCTGTGGTTCCATTGACGCCGTTGCTGTTGCTTGCCGGGGCGTCGGTCTTGCCACTGGCCTCAGTGGCAGGAGCATCTCCCTGCTTGGTGGTTTCAGGAGCTAAGGGGAGAGGGACCGCGCCGGCGACAGAGGTAGAGGTGGCTTCGGCCGGCTTGTCAGCTGGGGCCTCGGCGAGCGGGTTCTTAGGCAGCGCATTGTCGGCAGCGGGCGCGGTGCCTGGAACGGCATTCGGCTGAGCTGCGCATGTGTAGCAGAGATGTTAGCGGCGGCGCGACATGGAGGCTGGGATTGGATTGCGCAAATGGTGAAAAGCAGACCGGAAAAAGCGGGATCAGGGTCATTCAATGCTCGCTGGAGCTGGGCTGGGCCGGCGACGGCGCAGAGGGAGCGCAATTGACGGGCAATTCGACGACGGCATTGCAACAAGGCTGGGGTGGGCTACACGCACCTGCGCTGCTAACGGGAGCTGAGCTGTCGGCCATTGCGATCGATATGACGTAATGATGGAACGGGTGGATGACAGGGCGGGAGGCGTGTCTTGGGTCGCAATCGATGCGCTGCAAGTAATGCACGGTATCAATGGGGCAGATGGGCTGAGATGGTAGTTGATGAGGTTGATGAGGCTGTCAATGGGGCTGGATGGCGGTGCGAGGTTGTTGTGAGGAGTGCTGTGCGTCGTTTGGGGGAGAGGTTTGGGAAAGAGCGAGGTTGAAGGCTTGAAGGCCGCAGCTTGCTTGCTCACCTAATCGTCCAGGAAGCTGTGGCATGGGTGGGCATGGCATGGCATGACAAGCGGCAGGCGGGCAAGCATCATTTGCTCTGCAACCCTCTCCCAACACTTGCCCTCACTTTGCACCGAAGTCATACAGTACAGTATCCAATCTGCTACCAGGCAGGTTAATGAGTACAGTAGACGGGGCGCACATGTACGTGGTCTCTGCGTACTCCGTAGCACTTGTCCACACAGTATGGCGCTGCCCGTGTTGCCCAGTACACAGTACCGCACCCGGTGGCTGAACGAATCACGAGCTCGCATCCCGTCTCGCCATACTCCAAGCTCCTCACCCCCGCGGGCCATCGAGACGGAGGATGGGACCAAAACGTAAAGGTGGGTGCGGGCCAGGGCCGTGGGTGAACCCTTAAACCCTGCACCGGGACTCTACTTGGAGTCTAGAAAGTCTGCTACCTACACACAGGAGTGGCAGGGCACTGACTTCGGCCTTTTCTCTCCAAGCTTGTCATGTCAGAAGATGGCCTTGTCCTCATCCGTCGACCGTGACTACCTCACGCCTGCACTGTACGACGCCTCCACCTCGCCCCGCATGTTGCACAGTCCGAACCAAGGCACGCTGCCCAGCACGGGCCCTGGATCCAGATTCCAGGGGTAGTGACATGATCTGGGCAAGTGCATGTCTTGTCGCCGTTTCAGGAGCTGGAGTCTGTCAGTGATGGGGGCATCAGACCTGCAGACACGGCTCCTACTTGTAGAACATACGTAGCACGTAGTACACTAGTACGTAGACCCTGGCCTTGGAGCAGCTGTGCGCACGCGGCAATCTGCCTGTGCCGATTCGTGCCGGGGTTTGGAACTTCGTGAAGAGGCATTGGCCAATGAAGCTTGATGTGGGGTGAGTGCCCAGCCTGCCATGCGAGCAAAGAAAAGTGCGACCCCTATCGAGGCAAGCGGCTGACCTACACATTACGACAACAACATGCCGCATGGTGACGCAAGACCAGAGACTGGAGCGGATGCTGGACAAGAAGCTGTTGCCATCAGAAGCTGGGCCAAAAGATGGGAGCTGGGGGCTTTTCCTCCAGCAGCACGCATCGTCAGCCAGTTGACCTCCCAACTTCGTGACCGGCTATCCGGCACTCGCCACTCCGTACCGAAGCTGCGCGGTGACAGGGCTACTGACTTGTCGGCTGCTTCAACAAAAGCCAGCCATGCCTGCCCGCCCGCCGACCACTGCACACCCTTTCGCCGTGGAGACACGGCAGCAGCCACTACTACCGACACATGTATCCCATGCGAAAGAGACTCGATGCCATGCCTCGTCCGCCCGCAGGCCCAGCCTCCTAAAGCTTGACCAAGGCGCGATCAGGGTCCTTTCTCCTCGACCAAGCACTTCCGGAGTCTTGACATATGGTTCCAAATGCTTGGGGGGCAAATCTTTGCTCCAACGAGCGCGAGCATTATTCTTCTACATTCCCAGCCTCGTTCGCCCACTAGGTCTCGGCACCGGCTAACAAGGTCACGGGCAGCTATTGTCTGGGGTGATTATCTAAGTCACCAGGACGCCTTTATTGGCCGCCCCCAGGTTTGTCGCCCGCTCTCGGCGTTGAGCGAACATGACAAGAGACTAGTCACTTCTTGGCTCGGCCTCCGCCTGCGACCTCACTGCGCCTCTGGTTCGATCGGGGCAACGCAAACGGCATCTTTGCTCCAGCACCGAGGATCCTCAATGCAATTCCTGCACCCAGACCAGCCAGAATGGCTTCCATCGGCGTCTGTCCTCGGAAAGCAGGAGCAGCCAAGCCTTCCGCCCAGACTCCCGCCCCGGTGCCGCCCAGCACCGCCCAGGTGTTTGGACTGCCAGGAGGCTTGGTATGATGCCATTGGACCCAATAAAGGACTCCAACTGTCAAGGGGTTCTGCAATAAGAGGGTTGTATTCGGTTTCTGGTTGTGGTTCAGTCTAAGTTTGTGCCGAAGGGCCGAGGGGCCGAGGACTACCTATCAATGCCCATAAGGGGTCTGTGCGGTGCTCCTTCCTCACAATCTGCCCCCTCCAAAAAATAGCGGCGCCCTCGCAGCTAATGAACAATTCCGAGAGGTGCGTCCGACAGATCAGTCATCCTGTGTTCCGTCTTCCGGGCAAAGTATTGGGCCTGGACTATCTCCGTCTTCCTCACAGTCTCCGTTTCCGTCCTCCGGAGCGTCGGGGTCATTTCGGGGTTCGTCCCGTGATCCGTCGTGTTCCTTGTAGTTGGCTGCTTTCGCATCTCCACCTGATCCGGAGTCGTCCGTGAAAAGTTCCAACTCGAGAGTGCATCCGTTGTTGAGTGATTTGATGATGACATCCATGACATCTCGGACGGCGAGGAAGGCGTCGGATCCGTCCGCAATCGTTTTGGTGAACAGGGTGTGGTGGCTGCCTTCCAGGGTGTCGATCTGTTTGTCCTTCTCAGTCAACTGGTCTTTCAAGCTGGTGACGTATGCGGTGCTGAGGTTAAGTCGCGTCTGGAGTGAGTTCCGCTGGGTGTCCAATTTGGTGTTTTCCGACTGTAATTTTGCGATTTGGGCTCGCTGTTCGTTGACTTTGGCGGCGAACTTGGCGTTTTCCGTCTTGTATCGCTCGTACTTTTGCTGTTTTGTCAAAGGCGGGGGCGCTGTCGATGGGGAACACGAACGGGTATCGGCGTGTTCCGTCGCGGGCAAGGAAGGTAGCACGGACTGACGGGTCGTCGCGTCGTCGGTGGGAGACATGGTGGGTTGCAGGGACATGTCAAACTTCGTCTTCTTCGGGTTGCGTTGCGGACTCGCCGTAGGCGTTGTGTCGGATTTTTTTCGATTGGTTTTCTTCAACGGACTGTATTCTCCGGTTCGGGACGACATGACAAAGACGTCGGAATCGCTGTCGGAGGAGCAATCACCAGGGGGAGGTGGTTTTTCGAGCAGGTTTTCTTCGATTTCGTCGCGCACGGATTCAGCGGCTCTGGCGTTTTCGTCGGAATCGCTTTCGCCTGAGGATCCTTCGGATTCGGATTGGGATTCGGCCTGAGAAGAAGAAGTGTCGTAATCCGCTGTGTCGAACAAGTGTCGCAAAGGATGTGGCAGAGTTGGGGCTTTTTTGGTTGGTTGGTTCGTCTTTGCGTTTGCGTAGAAAAGATATCGACCGAATTTTCCGTCAGCAATGTCCTGCAGTTCGTCGCAAATGTATGTCCACCACTCGTATTCCTTCTTCTTGTGCCTTTTGACGGATCGCGGGAGCTTTCTGTCGTGTTCCCACTCTCGCATCAAGTGGATGAGGGTAAGGAGATCCGTAGCCCTGTCGAGTTCGTCGATTTTGACCCTGTCGGAATCAAGAATCGTTTGTAGTGTAGTGTGCAAGTCTCTCGCGGTAGTCGTCGAGCCGACTTGGTCGTCCCAGCGCGTGATGTCGTCAATGTTTTTGATCCAGGGCTCCGGATTTTGAAAAAGATCCGCGGCTCGGCGCTTTGCTTTGAATTTGCGCCGTTTGAGTTCGTTTTCGGACAGCTTTCTGCTCTTATCTCCTTCCGCCATCGCCGTCGGCGACGGGCTCGGATTGCAAGGCCGTCTTGAGTGTGTCTTCCGTTGAACAAAAACGAATGGAAAAATAAAAGGGAGGAAGAAGTTTGTAGTTCCTGAGAGAGAACCAAAATTGTGCTTTAAGTAGTGCTGTGTTCATCCCATTTTTTCGTCCGAAGTTTTTAGGCAGATGTCGTTGTGAGTCACTGTGGCAGTCACTGGTGGCAGTCACTGGTGGTAGTTACTGTGTCAAGTTTGTAATGGACAGTCGTTTGCGGGCGAATTCGTCAAGCAGCGATTGTGCGTCGGGTCCCAGTTGCGGCAAGGTCATCCATTCTCGGAATTCAGGTCCCAGTCCGACGTATTCGACGAGATATTTTGTGTCCTTCGGTCCTGAGTGTCGTGGTCGATTATGCGCTTTGCGTGATCTTCGATTCGGATGGGTCCGATCCGAGGTATGTCTCGACCGAACGGATCCAGAGGGTACGGCTCGAGGTGGTCGACGGAAACGACATCATGCTTCAACTTCCATGCGCGCGGAAAGTCGAGTCGGTATGCAGAACGGCCGATCCTTTCCGTGACTCTGAAAGGGCCCGCATATTGTGGTCCGTATTTGCGGCCGACATCTTGTGGAATTCCGTATCCTTTGTGTAGTCGGAGTAACACCCGTGCTCCCGACTTCAAAGAATTGTGCGAGATGTCGTCTATCAAAGTGTGCTTTTACCGTCATCGCCGCAAGTGCCAGGGCGTCGTGTACGCGGATACGGCTTTGAGGAAGGTCTGGCAGTCGATGAGGCACTCGGTCCGCAATGATGTCCAGGACGTCGTTCGGGGTGAAGCCTTTGACGATTTCGTTCGGGGAAGTCCCGGTTGCTTGGGATTTGCTGTTGCAGTATTCGAATTGTATCCGTGGCAAAGTGTCCAACCATTTTCGCGGATCGTCAAGGCCGTGGATGAAGTGGCGGAGCGCGGATTCAATGGTCTGTACCGTCCTTTCTGACTGGCCGTCGGTTTGTGGATGGTACGCAGTTGTGTAAAGCAGCTTTGTTCCGGATAGTTTCCATATTGATGACCAGATGCTTGACAGGAATTTGGGGTCTCGGTCTGAGAGGATGACTTTTGGATAGCCCCAGTTACTTTGAAGCAAGTATCGTAGCAAAGAGGAGGCCCATTCCGTGGCTTTCCATGTTGATTTTCCGGGCACCAGCAACAGGTCCTTCGAGAATTTGCAGATTACCAAGAGGATACAGTCGTAGCCTTCTGTCGAGGGAAGTCCGAGGATAAAGTCCATCGTAATCCAGTAGCATGGACACGGTGGGCCGAGCAGCGGTTGCAAGCTCCCGTGGGCTTTATGTCTTCTAATGTCAAAGACTTGGCAATCAGGGCAGCGGCGGGTAAATTTGCGCAGCTCGGAATGCGGTCTTCCGATGCAGAAGGGCCGGAGGAATTCGCTGAGTCGGGCATAACCATGGTGGCTGCCTGCATGGGCGAGTTCCAAGATTTCGACTACACACGATCGAGGGATGCAAAGACGAGGAGTTCCGTCTTCGTTTGATGTTTTCCAGATGAGGCCGAAGCGGATTTCGAACGGAAGGACGGCTTTGTTCTCACGGAGAGCATCGTTTCGCCGTATCATGTCCAGAATTCTTGCCCATCGGGGGTCTGTTCGATAGCCATCTTGGAGGCGCTTGCGAAAGTCGGGAGACATTTCAACGTGCACATTTCCGTTTCGCAGATTTGGTTCCGAAGGTATCGGAGGGGCTACTGGGCGCATTTCCGAGAAAAACGACCAATGTTCGTCTCGATCATCCGGGAGAACATCCAGTCCACCATCTTCAGTTGGCGGCGACACGTTCGGTGACGGCATACGCGACAGTGCATCCGGCACGACATTCTCTCTTCCCGGTTTGTGCAGTAGATCGATTTCGAAGGCGCTGACATATTCAAGGGCACGGATCAATCTCTTGTTGTCTATCGAGGCTGCGGTGGAGTTGACAATGTCAGGTTGTTTGGAAAGGGCGAGGATTGCTGAGTGGTCTGTGCAAATCGTAGGACGGTGCTTAGTGACGTTGATCCAGTGTCGACATTTTTTGAGTACCCATACGTAGCCGAGAAGTTCCATTTCCGTAGCCCAGTACCGGCGTTCCGCGGAGGACAGAGTGCGGCTAAGGTACGCAATTGTTTCGACTGAAGTTCGCGGTGGGTATGTGACGACACGGCCGTCTTTCATGAGTTTCCTTGCGGCTGAGTCCGCCACGTGGTAGACTTGCACTCCGATTCCGGACGCGGATACATCGAAATCGATGAATAGACGCCTTTCCGAATTGAAGTGTACGACGGATGTGAACTTGGTTAGGTCTTGTTTCACGGTGTCGAAGGCAGCTTTCTCTGCGTCGCTGGGCAGGGCGAACATAATTCGTTTTGTCCAATTCTCTCGAGCTGTTTTGCCCTTTGGCTTTGTCGAGGCATTCAGTCGATGGAGATTCGTCTTTCGTTGTTCGAGAGGCTCGATCTTCATTGCGAAACGCGGGACGTTGTGTCTCATGTAGCCCGCAAGGCCGATGAAATGTTCCAAATCCTTCAATGAGCGGGGAAATTCCAAGGCTTTGACAGCCTTCAAGCGTTCTTCGGTCGTGGAGAGGCCGAAAGAGTCGACATAACGGCCGAGCACGACAGCTGTCGGTGCTGCGAAATAGGATTTTTTTTTTGGGCCCATTGAAATGTTCTTCTGTCGCAGTCGGTTGAAAACCAGACGAACATCGTCAATATGGTCTTGCAAGGAGCCGTCCGTGGCAATGACTATGTCGTCGGTATATGCTTCAGCGGGTGTGTCTTCGAGGAGCCGATCCATTTGTCGTTGTACATAGGCTGGGCTGCTGTGATATCCCATGATAGCGCAGTTGAATGTGAATTGTCCGCGAGCTGTTGTGATAGTGAACATCCATCGAGATTCGGGATGGATTCGCCACTGGTAGAAGAAAGCGGTGGCGTCGAGAACCGTGATGTGTTTTGCATTTGTGATCTTTGAGAGAATTTGGTCCTGGCTTTTCATGGGGTATGCGTCGGGGACCGACATGCGGTTCAGTCCTCGGACATCAATCACCATGCGACCTTTCCGGGTACCGTCTGGCATAGTTCGCCAAACAACGAATACGGGGAAAGAGAAGGGAACGGATTGAGTTGTCCGTTCGATTTTTTTTCGGCAGCTTGCAGTTTGTTTAAAGTTTTGTCAACGACCTCAGCGTCCTTCGAGGTCATGGGGTAGACTCTGCACTTTTTCGGAATCATGTCTTGCCAGTTTTGCCTAAGGCGAACCTTGAGCCATTCGTCTTGTGGAGCTTTGGCCCAACCTTTGTCTTCAAAGATGTCCGCATTTTCATCGAGGAAACTTGAGAGCTTGTCTCGGTCGACAGGGTTCAGGTTGGAAAATACATTAGTGCCTGTCGAGGTGTGCGTTTGGAAGTCGTCTGACGGCATCGTTTTCGGACGCTGGGAATTCGAGGATCCGTGAAAGGCTGCGAATGTGGCCTCGTCGTCTTTGTCGACGGCATGAATTTGGCATTGTGGGTCCAAAGAACACAGGTGTCCCACGAATGTTCTATTGGGTACGATGATAGGCTTGTCCGTTTCGTTCTCGACGACCACGTGAGCCAGATGGACATCCGTGAGGAGAGCGTAAGCGCCGAATCGGGTTGATGCAGGGGTAAACACCAAGTCTTGAACGTCGTCAGTGTGCAGGCGATGTTCAACGGGGAGATAAACAGCTGATCTAGGTGGTATAATAGTATGTTGCGCGGCGAGTACCCTGGCCTTCACCGGGCGGCCACGATTTCTCGTTTCCATGGGAATTCGGACACGGCAGGAGTCGATGTCGACGTATCCTTTCGAATTAACAATGTCGAAGCCCTCTGGTCCCATGGCGTCCATGCCGACGAGCATGTTGGCCTTCAGGTCTTCAACCACGGAGACTTCGCGAGTAAACGAAGCGACTGCTGCGGTCCCGCGGTCGATGTGTTTTCCCAGGAATTGCAATGGCATAAGTACATAGTCGTACGACTCGTGAATTTTCGTTCCGAGTCCGCGTAACTGTAGCGGAGATGCGCGTTTGCGAATTGGCAGGAGGGGATAATTTTGTTGTAACCATTGTCTATCTGCCATCGTTCGGTTGCAGCCGGTATCGCCGCAAACATCTGACGACAATCCGGACGGCAGTTGAATGAAAAGACGCAAATAAGTCCAAGAGCGAAAACCGAATCCTGTCCCAAGTTCCGAGTCGACCCTCACCGGCGACTGGATTATCTCCACGCCCCCTGTAGTATCCGATGGGACACCGGGGCCTTTCAGTTTTTTGCCGGCTGCTCCGGGGCATCTTTCGACGCGCCGTCCAAGCCTTGATCGTCTGGTGGGCTGGCAGTCTCCGCCTCAGCTGCGAAAGCCGTCGACGTCTGTCTCCGTCGGGGCCGAGGCTTTTTGAAATGGACGGAGTAGACATGATCCATCAGCGAATTGTTGCTATGAAAATGCTTGGTGCAATAGCGGCAGACGGATGGTGACGACGCTGATGTGCCGAAAAAGGCAACGTCTGGGTAGTCGTCATGGTCGTCGACGGGAAACGCTTCCTCGAAGGGATAGTCGAAAGCCTCAGCGGCTGCATCCATGGAGAACTCTTCGTCCGGGACTTCCTCAACCGAAGGTGGTTGATATGCGGGCGTATCGGGTTGCTCCACAAAGTCCGCAGACTCGCCATGATAGGCCTGATGGGGCTGATTTCGTTGATATGGTCCGACGGCGGATGGGGCTTGCGGGGCGGGCAGGCGACGGTTCTCTGGGACGAGCTGTTGTCGGCGATCTCCCGGCTGGCTGTTGTTGAGCGGGTTGTCGCTGCTCGTCCTGTTGTCGACGCCACGCGGCGTACTGGTCTGGTGGCAGCCAAGGTCGACTGTATCCAGCATTCCAGATCTGGCCTCGACCAGCCGATCGGACCGGCAGTTGAAACTGATTCTGGGTTTGGTTAGCCGTGTACGGTCGATTGTACTGCGGAAGAGCTTGGGGTAGCTGCGCCTGAAAGCGTTGCTGTGGTTGCCATCGCTGGGGCTGCGAAGGCGGATACCGTGGGGCGTAGGGGACGTTCGACCTGCCTCCGTAGGCGGGTGTGGGCTGACGAGGACGGACAACATTCCGAGCAGACGGATATCGTTGTCGGGCCAGGTCGAGAATCACACTCTCGCGGTTTCGGACGTCGTCCAAAAAGCTTTCCAATGTCGTCGCTTCGTTGGGTTTTCGGAGTTCAGACTTGATCTCGGGAGCGAGCGATTCGAACGCAGCAATCAGCTGTGCGGGAAGCTCCATGTTGCAAGCCTTCGCGTTCGCAATGACGGTTTGAAGGAACGAAGTAATGTCCCGTCCCTCTGCGACCTGGTAGAGAGACAAGTGATCCGTCTTGAGACCGGCCATGGCATCCGAGAAGGACTTGGCGAAACGCGATTTCAACTTGTCACAAATCGCTTGAACTGTCGCCGTCTCGAGCAGCTGGCGATCGTTGTCGGTCAAGACATGGGAGTGCCATTCGAGTGCATCCTCCAAGAGACACTGAGACCAAACTCGACGGACGTCGTCCGCGGAATGGACTCGTTCGATGTGCTTCAAACGCTCGATGAAATGGAAGACGTCGAAATACTTCGTGATCTTCCCGTCAGACCAAACGCCTGAACCGGCATGCTTGCGAGGGCAGAAATAGCCAACATCCGCTGGCCGGATGCCAGAACGTCCGTCGACGCCATTCTGCGCGGGCCCGGCTTGAACATGGACTTGAGGGACTGGTGCATTTGCGAACGCTGTGGCAATCAGATGTGCGAAGTCTTGGTTCTGCTGGTTACGGAGCTGTGCCATTGCCTGTGTGATGAGGTTGGCGGCGTCTTCAGCCGTGAGTGGTGCCATATCGTCGTCGTCAGATTCAGGGCCTTCCGATTCCGTTCTGTCGTTCCTCTTCGGACGCGAGGGAGAGCCGAGGTCTCGATTATATGTTGATGTGGGCGGCGTATTTCCGAGGGAAACTCTTGAGGATGATGGCAAACTTGGCAAACTCACTGTTCGGCGGTGCTCGAGTGTTCGAGGAGATTGCGTTCCGGTCGATGCATGTGATGAATCACCAGGAAGCGGCGTCCGGCTAACTGGGGAAGTGGCTTGGGGATCAGACGCTGGAGGGGATCCGAGCGGCAGGAGCGCCCGCCAGCGGGCGAGAAATGCGGGAAGGCTCTTCCGCTTTGTTGACCAATTCTGCGGCCAACAAGTCTCGCCTTGAGGAATCGGATCGTTTTCGTCGAAGGTAGGCTGCAAGAGACGGGCGTATTCGAGCTCGTCGTTCTGAATCTTCGTGATATACGGAGACCCGGATAGGCAGTGGAACCGTAAGAGCTGTCGAGCACGCAGTCGTCTGAGTTCAGCCGTGGAGTCTCGCGGAGCCATACGACTGAATAGTCTAGACGAATGAGTGTCGAGACGGTCGTGCGAGAGCGAAGCAAGCAGTTGGAAATCGATGGTAAATCTGCGGTGGTGCTCTCGTCGTCTCGTCGGACGAGGCTATGTCTGTGGTGGTCACCGGCTGGCGTTCGATTCCCGTAATCCGAGCCAAGTTGTCAAGGGGTTCTGCAATAAGAGGGTTGTATTCGGTTTCTGGTTGTGGTTCAGTCTAAGTTTGTGCCGAAGGGCCGAGGGGCCGAGGACTACCTATCAATGCCCATAAGGGGTCTGTGCGGTGCTCCTTCCTCACACCAACACTCTTGATAACGGGTCGTTGGGACACCCACATACTCACGCGAGCATCGTCGCGAAGCTAGATACCTGGTGGTTCCTCTTATGCTGCCTCGTGGTTCGTCGAGGTCGTAGGTTCTGCTCTTGGCTTCGCTCGGCGCCATGGCTAAGCCCTCGCCGTCATTGTCGGTCCATCGCCTGGTCTGCCCTGGCCATTACGTCTCCTTCTAGACTCATCGAAGCTTTCCAACGAGTGTTGACAAGTACTTAAGCAGCTACGTTCCCCTGTGGATCACATGCCAAAATGTTTTGGCTTGAGAAAGGACTTGACCAGTCAACATTGTGAAAAAAATATTCCCGTCTTTCACAGTTTCGAAAATCATCTGGTTAACAAACTTATCCAGAGTCCACTCGCTTATGATCGGAACTTCATCCACACTCGACATCTCAACATCCATGGTCATCAAGTGAACACATTATGGCCGGCCAGTTTGACCGACACCCGTTCCTCCTCGCTCCAAATGACGTGGCAGCCGCCCTGAAGACAGATGTCGACAAAGGCTTGAATTCGGCGCAAGTTGCGCAGCTACAGCAGGAATACCCTCGCAATGAGCTCGACATCGGGGGAGCAATCCCCTGGTACACGATTTTCATCAAACAGCTCTTCAATGCTATGATCTTGGTATGTTCCCATCCGGAGAAGTATTATCAAGTATTATCACTCTTGGCCCTTGGCTTACCACTTATAAACATCTAGGTCCTCTTCTTTGCAACGATTGTCAGTCTTGCTATCCAGGATTGGATTGAGGGTGGAGTTCTTGCTGTGGTCATCGTACTCAATGTCTCAATCGGCTTTTTACAAGAGTATAAGGCCGAGAAGAAGATGGATGCTCTCAGAGCTCTGTCTTCTCCTTCGGCAAGCGTTATTCGTGATGGAAAGGTTCAAGTTATCTCCAAGTATGTTTCCCATCTGCTACATCACCGCGCTGCCTCCCTTTCTCAGTATCTAACCTAATGATAAAACTCACCCTCTCCATACCATCCAAAGTACTTATTGACCCCTGCTAATTGCTCTCAGTCCTGAGGTAGTTCCTGGTGACATTGTCATTCTGAAAATGGGTGACACGGTACCTGCCGACCTGCGAATGTTCGAAACCATGAATCTCTCTTGCGATGAACAGAGCTTGACAGGCGAGGCCCTCCCTGTGGAGAAGTCGATAGAAAATGATATCACGGTTCCTGGCACCGAAAAGCTGGCCTCCGAAGAGGGTGAGGTTGGCATCGGTGATCGTGTGAACATTGCGTATGCCACCACTGTTGTCCGAAAGGGTCGTGGTCGGGGTATCGTGATTGCGACAGGAATGCAAACTGAGGTTGGCAAGATTGCTGCCTCAACCACTAAAAGGACAAGGAAGCCTGGAAGATCCATGAACTGGAAGAAGTACGGCAAGGCGGCTCCCCTCAAAGGAGGATTCAAGCGGGCTTACGATTTCTTCGGCAAATTCTTGGGCCTGACCGAGGGCACACCGCTCCAGATTCGACTGAGCAAGCTGGCTTATGTCCTGTTCTTCTGCGCACTGCTTTTGGCAGTCATTGTGTTTGCAGTCAACCGCTTCCGGATGACCAACGAGGTTATTATTTATGCCATCTCCACTGGAATTGCCATTATTCCGGAAAGTCTGGTTGCTGTGTTGACCATCACAATGGTCGTTGCGACGACTGTCATGCGCAAGGCTAACGTTGTCGTCCGGTATGTTTTGCGCCTCTCATCGATGTCGAATGGACTTTACTAACTTGCAGCACAGAGATCTATCTGCCTTAGAAGCGCTTGGAGGTGTGACCAACATCTGCTCCGATAAGACCGGAACTCTGACTCAGGGCGCCATGATAGTTCGGAAAGCTTGGTTGCCTTTCTCCAACGTCTACACTGTTCATGACTCTGAGGACCCCAGTGACCCAAGTATTGGGAGAGTTACTTATCGCAGCGTGCCTATCGACGCGCCTGAGGAGCCAAAGCAGGAGCGTGACTTCGATCAGGAGCGAAGCGCTCCAGCGCTTAAGTTTGACGTGCCACAGGAGAAGCTCGAGCAGAACGACAAAGACGAGTCGAAAGAGAAGGAGGCTGAAGCCAGCCCAGACCTGCACGCCTTCCTAATTGCGTCCTCTCTCTGCAACCTCGCGACAGTGCGATATGACGACCAGGAATCCAAGTGGCAGACAACAGGGGAGCCGACTGAAATCGCCCTGCAGGTTTTCTCTCATCGCTTTGAAATTCGGAAGAAGGAGCTCGAGGCCAATGGCTGGAAGCAAATCGCTGAATTCCCCTTCGACAGCAGCATCAAGCGAATGTCAGTGGTGTACAATGCACCCGACGGCAATCCTTACAACGTGCCATCCAAGGGCAGTATCATCTACACCAAGGGTGCCGTCGAGCGTGTTCTCGATCTTTGCTCGACCATTGGCACTGGTGACATCCAGGAGCCCTTGACAGATGAGATCAAGGACAAAGTTTTGACTCAGATGGACAACCTCGCTTCGCAAGGCCTACGTGTTCTAGCGGTTGCTACCAAGGAATGGGATGGTCGTTTCGCCTCAGTGTCTAGCCCAGCCGAGACTGAAAATGATGAAGCACTCCGAGGCCAGGTCGAGAACGGCTTGACTTTACTCGGTCTTGCCGGTATTTACGACCCGCCTCGACGAGAGACCACGCCTGCTATCGGGGAATGTGCCAGCGCAGGTATCAAGGTGCACATGCTTACTGGTGACCATCCCTCCACCGCCAGGGCCATCGCCAAAGAAGTCGGCATCATCCCGCGCAACCTGTCCATCCTGCCCGCGGGTACTGCGGACTCGATTGTTCTCAAGGCTACCGATTTCGACAAGCTGACCGATGCGGAGATCGACGCCCTGGAGGAGCTGCCATTGGTCATTGCTCGTTGCGCCCCGGACACCAAGACGCGCATGATTGAGGCCCTCCGAAGACGCAAGGCGTTCATGGCTATGACTGGTGATGGTGTCAATGACGCGCCGTCGCTTGCTAACGCAGACGTCGGTATCGCGATGGGAAGCGGCTCTGACGTCGCCAAGTCGGCAGCCAAGATCGTGCTAACGGATGACAAGTTCAACTCGATTGTCGCGGCCATCCGCGAGGGAAGGCGCATGTTTGACAACATCCAAAAGTTTATCCTGCACCTGCTCACATCCAACGTCGGCGAGGTCATCCTCCTGATCTGCGGCCTAGCGTTCCAGGATGCCAGCGGGTTGTCCGTGTTCCCCATTTCGCCGCTCGAGATCATCTGGATCAACATGATCACCTCGTCCTTCCCTGCCTTCGGGCTGGGTCGGGAGAAGGCCGCATCAGACGTTATGAGGAAGCCCCCCCACGCCAAGGGCATCTTCACGAGACAGATCATGGTTGACATGGCCGTGTACGGACTCCTTATGGGTGTCTGCACCCTTGCGACGTTCGTGATTGTCATCTACGGGGTCAACGGCGGCAACCTGGGCTCGGACTGCAACAGGACCTACTCCGACGCGTGCGTTCCTGTGTTCAAGGCCCGGGCCGCTGTCTTCGCGGAGCTGACGTGGCTGATCCTGCTGTCTGCGTGGGAGTTCAAGCACCTGCGGAGGTCCATGTTCGCGCTGAACCCGGAGCGCCACGGGCCCTTCCAGTTCTTCAAGGACGTCTACGCCAACCGGTTCCTCTTCTGGGCCGTGTCGATCGGCATGGTGTCCGTCTTCCTGACCGTCTACATCCCCGTGGTGAGCACCGACTTCTTCAAGCACGCGGCCATCACGTGGGAGTGGGGCCTCGTGGTTGGCTTCACGGCCGTCTTCATCGCGGGCATGGAGACGTGGAAGGCGATCAAGCGGGCCTTCCACCTCCTGGACGACCACGCCGTCGTGCAGGGCGCCTTCTCGCAGGGTAGCGTCGAGGGCAGGAGGCTCAGCACCGCGCTCAGCTTCTCCAGCCTCAAGGGCTGGGCGAGCTTCGGGAAGAGGCACAACACGGGCGAGGCCTCTAGCCACAGCCGTACGAGGACCAAGGAGAAGGTCGATGCCTCTCCCAACGGTCGGTCGGATTCCGGGGAGAAGATCTCGACGAATGTTTGAGGGGTGTGCATGGCATGCGCGTGCATCTCACGCGCCTGGTGTTGCATTTGGCGTCCGCGTGCGAATATCGTATCTGCTTTGCTTTGATGGGTTTTTTTTTTTACATTTTCCCTGCTTATTTGTGCTTTCTGGACTGCGAACAAAACGCAGGAGAGGGCTTGTGCCGAAAGTAATTTATACCCATTTTGTTGTGGGGTTGCTGAGATACTCATTCATGAGCTCAGGCTCGAACCTTGGCCTGGGAGCTAATCTTCCAAGTCGACTGGCAGACAGGTTGCAATAACAATTAACTATAAAATAGACAACAACGTATGAACTGATTTCCATGTGAGATGATCTTAAACAAATGCCCAGGTACAGGACAATGAATGGAAGCCTCGAGATGCATCAGCTGTGTTGTACCCAACGTTTGTCACCAACTGAGTGCCTCGCCCACAGCTGTACGACCCCAACACCATTAAAACTTGCCCAGTAAAATCCGCTGTAGGATGTTTGGCCATTGTATTACCTAGAATACCACACGCTCTCATGAAATACCCTTTGGCTAGCCTCCCATGGGATAATCTACTGATGGACAGTCCGCTGTGGGATAATCTGCTGTGGGATGATCCGGGTGTTGTACACATGGGGATCTCTTCCACCCCCTTCTCACTACTCATTGCCTAACACATCTTCAATTTTCTGCAATCTGTAATAGGCCATTAATAAAGCTGTCAAATTTGTGCTAGGTACCTAGGTGTTTCGTTTGCGTAAGATCACCGAAGTTCGATCAAAGGGGTGGACGACGACAGCAGATGCTTAGTCATCCGGTTTTCAGATGCAGCCAGCCAGGGGGTCGTTCACGCAGGCGCTAAGACGACCACCTGGGCAAGCTTCCAGAAAGGCCACGACCTCAGCCGTCGCATTCCATCTTCAACCCTTGCAACCTCACGACGCTCCTTTCTTTTGCCAATTAAGAGAGCGCATTGACTGATTTCTTCCTGATTCTGACATTCTCTAATTCTCTCCATCTTTCCCAATATCTCCTTCTAATTACCTCACCATGGCGAAGGGCGCGACCAAGAACGTCTACTCGGTGATCCTGCCCACCTTCAACGAGCGACAGAACCTCCCCATCATCACCTGGCTGCTGCAGCGAACGTTCTCGGAGAAGTGAGTGGCTGGCTCTCCTCCAGGTCGAGCGTGACAGGCGTGTGAATCACAAGCAAACCACAGCTGACATCTGCTTCTCCAGCAACCTCGACTGGGAACTCATCATCGTCGACGACGGGTCCCCCGACGGCACCCAAGACGTCGCCAACCAGCTCGTCAAGGCCTACTCCCCGCACGTCCAACTCAAGCCCCGGACGGGCAAGCTCGGCCTCGGTACGGCGTACGTGCACGGCCTGCAGTTCGCCAAGGGCAACTTCATCATCATCATGGACGCCGACTTCAGCCACCACCCCAAGTTCATCCCGCAGATGATCGCGCTGCAGAAGGCGCACGACTACGACATCGTCACGGGCACGCGCTACGCCAGCGGCGGCGGCGTCTACGGCTGGGACCTGAAGCGGAAGCTCACCAGCAAGGGGGCCAACATCTTTGCCGACACGGTGCTGCGGCCGGGCGTGAGCGACCTCACGGGCAGCTTCCGGCTGTACAAGCGGGCGGCGCTGGAGAAGCTGTTCGAGACAACCGACGTGCGCGGGTTCAGCATGCAGATGGCGCTGGCGGTGACGGCCAAGGCGATGGGCATGACGATCGGCGAGGTACCCATCACGTTTGTTGATCGGGTCTATGGAGATTCAAAGTTAGGCGCCTCGGAAATTGCAGAGTATGCGAAGGGTGTGATCTACTTGTGGGCGAAGGTATAAGATCGGAGTTTGATCGAGAAGTTGGACGGACCTTCCTCAGGACGCCTGTTGTTGTTTTGGAGGCTGGGTTTCTGCATCTGGAGTTGGGGCATCATATTCACCAGGATCATAATGAAAGGGTGCAACAAACAGTTCTGTGATCCAAATGCGCAAAAGGAGTCGTATTGGTTGCCATAATAAAGCGCTGGTTGATGTGCAAGTCGGGGTGCATTGCGGCCTACATATTGCGCCCTCCGGTTACCATGATAGTCTGCCCAGATACATAGCTAAACAACGGGCTGCAAACAGCAAGAACAGCGGATGCTGCCTCAGACGCCGTACCAGGCCTTCTCAAGGGGATATCCAGGTGCTGGTCCTTGGTGGCCTGCTGTGCCTTGGGAATCCCCAGCGCGATCTTCTCACCATTTGGCCCTGTTATAAAGGCACCCTGCTCTTTCGCCTGGGTTAATCGTGTTAAAATGTGACCGAAAGCCACCGTGTTAGACCGCACGCCAAAAGCAGGGCCCCATTCCTTCGCGATCGTCTTGGTGAGGCCAGTCACGCCAGCCTTGGCTACGGCGTAGTTCGCCTGTCCCGCGTTGCCGTGGATGCCCGATGTGCTCGAGATGTTGACCACGCACCGGGGCTCCCCGTCCTTGACGCGGAAGTATGGCGCCGCGGCGCGGACCAGCTGGAAGGGGGCCTTGGTGTGAAGGTCCATAATTGTGTCCCACTGCTTGTCCGTCATCTTGTGGATGACGCCGTCGTATGTGTATCCTGGGGCCAGTCAGTCGAAAGAGGTTACTAAAACGCCGGCCTGTGAAGCATAGTAGCGGGCGATGGGGATTATGGACACATACCTGCATTGTTGACTATGATATGGATCTTCCCGGAGCCAAATTCTGCAGCCTTCTCCACGAGTGTCTGGATATACTTGGAATCCAGCATATCGCCAGGGACAGCGAGTGCCCTCCCGCCTGCGGAGTTGATGCTCTCAGCGACCGATGCTGCCTTCTCGGCGTCGATGTCTGAGACGACGACCAGGGCGCCCTCGTTGGCAAACAGGCGGGCTGCTTCGGCGCCAATGCCCTGTCCGCTGCCTGTTATGATGGCAACTTGACCAGCCAGCATCCCATTGGGGAAGTTGAGATGGGCTGCGATCTGGGAGATACGGGAGGCGGCCATCTTGATGTTGAGGGGCGAACAAATGAGCAAATAAACAGTGCCAAGGTCGACGATACGGAATAGAGCATAGGGAGTTTGTCCTCCAAATTCTATCGTGACCAGAATTCTGGAACAAGGTGAAAGAATCATCGCGAAGGGCCCTGAAGGTTGTCTGCTAATATCCCTACCATAAACACGACTTGCCGAGGCATGTTCCCCGCATCACCATCCATCCCATCATCGAAGCTCCAAGGGACCGGAGTGAGCCTGGGTTCCCTTGCAGACCGACTGTGTAAGTGCCTTGAAAGCCCGAGGCACGCATCTCATCAAGCCTATTAGAGAGCACCCAGAATGAGTTCGACGTCAAGCCTCAAGTCGAGCAAGTGAAGCATCCTCATGTCCTTGGAATGTGAGATTTTGAATCCTGCATATGGCATGATATGCCCGACGGTTTCGCTGAATACAGTTACCTCACGCAATATGGTGTCTCCTGCTTGGACCTATGGACATTTTGAGAATATGCAGCCCAAGTAAGCATTGAAGACAGTGGCTTTTTAGGAGACCTTGATATGTTGGCTTGGGTTAATTTTTAGGCATTGTAGACCTAAACTGCAGGTACTCTACCATCCCCTCCATGCCCAACTTGTTGCAGATGCTTGAATTAGGCGAAGCGACAGGGACTGATTGGCCGAACCTGCCTGGCTACGCTATGACTCCAGGGCCCTTTCCTCCACCCCACCACTACATCCCCTTTCCCCGTTTCTCCAACTTCCTCACCAACGACTGCTCAAATCGGCCTGTTTGCATGCATCCAAAGTCACAACAATTTGCCAGCTAGGCGACCATTCACCATGCCTGCAAGGGGCCCGTCAGGACCATGGCAACGCCTCAAACCGGCCGATCTGGATCCCTTGGAGAGCATGGGCTTACCGTCCAAGGGGGAGACCAGGTACGCGCCCAAGCTCATCCTGACGTGCAGTCCTGTCATGCGCTGTCGCTGACCAGACCAGACTGCTCGATCATAAGAACCAGGAGCGCTACTACACAAAGATTGTCGAGCGGTATCTCAGCTTCTGCTCCGATGCCACCGACCGTGATGCGCTCCTGCAGAAGTTCGGCTCGCTTTCCATTGGCAAGGAAAGGGGTGGATCGTCTGGTACCGATGCTTCAGTAGCTTCCGGCTCAACCGCCTCAACAGCTTCTACGGCAATCACGGCATCCACGGCATCTGTGGCGCCCCCTTTCCCTGCTCCAACACTTTCGCAGACCGGCACCAATGACCTGTCTGCCGTCTTAATGGCTCTGCGGAAACTGCGTGAAGGAATTGTAGCCTCCAAGCGCATTGACGATTTCGCAACACAGGCCTACTTGTTCAACGTGCGCACCGCCATCCTGGTCAAGCATTCCGAGAGCTATCATCCCGCAATTCTGTACCTCCTGCGCACCATCCACCCAAAGCACCCGCTCACCAGCTTCGAGCTCCGCGAGGTCACTGGATACCTTGTGCTCGACGCTGCGTGCCGGCGAGGCGACTTGGCCGAAGCCTTTGCCTTGCGCAACCGCTTCAAGCTGCATGACGCCAAGGTTGATGCCATCCTACACGCGTTGGCTCGCGACGACTTCATTGCCTTTGGCAGGGTCAAGAGGACCGTCGACGGTCACCAGGCCAAATTCCTCGAGTTCTGCGAGGACGGTCTGAGACGGCATACGCTCAAATGCTTCGGGCGGGCATACCTGTCAGTTGACGTCCCCTACCTCGAAAAGGCCACTGGGGCGACATTTCTGGAGCTCGTCGAAAGAGATGGCGTTGGTTGGCATTCGGACGGCTCCAAGGTCGTCATTCGCAGTATCAAGGGACGTTCCTGATGGACACCTGGCCTAGATATGGATGGGTTGCTCGCGACCACGGGGTCGGCAATGGTGAGTGCATTTTTATATTGGACGACTGGGACTGGACGCATCGGGCCTGCTCTGTAGATATGTGCATACATGCTAATTCAACGTGAAGTCCACTTCCATGTTGAGCAGAAGACTTGAGCCAGTTGGCTTCGTCCCCTCCACTGATAAGAAATCCCTCACAGCCCACTACTAAACATCCCTCGTTGGATGCCTCGTTGCCCGCATTCTGGCTAATTCCGACATATGCGGCCACAACCACAACTCATCAAAATTGTTGCCACTCGGTCAAAGGCACATGAGGCGTGTGATCGCCAGTTAGACACACCGCTGAAATCAGTGTAGTGACGATCCGGTTCCTGCCGGCCTGCTGCTTGTCCAGCCGTAACGTTGTCAACTACACTCCATCACCAACTCACGGCACAATCACCGTCCCAATTCGTCGCTTAGTCGGACGTGCTGGTTATCCGGTGCCAGTCCATGTGACCGCATCTGCGGCGCGATGTCAAGCCTGCTGACTCTGTGCCGCATACTGCAATGTGCAGAGGAGAGCAAATCCCACTCTTGGGGCGAAGGATGTGATATCCGCGGTGGAAAGGAATGCGTTCCTGACAGATGCACGCAGGGTCCAGTCCAAAAATGTCCGCAACATCACGCCATTTCGATCACATGCACACCTAAGCAGATGGTCCCTTGGCAACAAAGACTACGAGTCTTGATCATGTCTTTGTGGCTCGTTGGTGTAACTCCTGCGAGAATGCTCTATCGAAGGTTGCATCAGCTCCCACCCTCTTTCTGGCAGCTCGGAAGTCCACACAGGCCCAGCGACCTGGGACGGAGCTGTGCCATTGGCCAGTAGGCATTAAGGTACGGATAAAGTTGAGGCTAAGGTCCCCGAAATCTGGAGATGACGAGCTAGTCTCCGTCCACTAACGCCCTGCAACCTTGCGAGCTCAGAAGAGCAAGAAGTGACCACCTGCCAGGAGGTCTGGACTACAGCTGGGAGAAACCGGCTCCTTGTCCCTTATTGAGTATCCTTGGCAAATATTCAAGGCCAGTTCTATCGTGTTCTGGCCGGCCGAATGCTGCAAGTGCTTATCACAATAGCCGCCACAAGGAACACGATCCGACTTCACCAAAAAAGCGCGAATCTTCGCAGCGTGTCATCGTCTCAGTTCGCACGAAGGCTAGGTGTCGTTCGACTTCATGGCTTGAGCAATATACAGCCCATTGCTACCACCTGCCGCTCTGGAGTTGCGTGTTCTCGCTCAAGTGGGTGCGGCGCTGGTTCGAGTGAGCCCGTGACGGATAAACCTAGTCCGGATATATGTTCAGTTGATGGCTGCCTACTGCAAGATTCATTTATTTATATTGCTTTCCCTTGTTCACCACTTGCAACTATCGCGTGCACCAATTTGGCGCCGGCTGAAGGAAGGTCGAGACCCCCAAGGACTGGTGCTCCCAAGGAGCGATGAACCTGAGGATGCCCGACATGGGGTGCGACCACTCACGACTATATAAGGACCAAGGCCAAACCAGTCATCCCACGATGCCGCCTCCAGCTGCGCAGTTTCGTGCGACAATCCAGTCAGTTGGCGATATTGCTGACCATGCTTGGTCGCCGCCTAGCCTACGTCCTTGCAGGACTCGGAGCGCCAACGTGGGCAGCTCCAGTCCTGTCAAGGGCCGACACCAGCCCACAATCAGTCCCTCATGGCTGCATTCCTGAAGTCTGGGAGCAAGCACACTTTTGCATCATTGCTCCTCCTACCACCACCATCGGCCCGTCCAACAAAGCTCGAGACTCGGCAAACGAATGGTTGGAGGTGAGGACTGCCGACACCCCTACCCCAGTGCTGGACATCAAGGGCACTCCAACCAACGGCGACTGCATACCAATCGTCTGGAACGGTGTATTCATCTGCCTTGCTCCGCCAACAACGACCATCGGACCCTCAACCAAGCGCAGTGAGCCCGAGGCACTGGCTGAGAGAGACACCCCAACCCCAACCACTTCGGACCCAACCCCAACGGACGGCAAGACTTGCGCTATCTGGCAAGGTGTTATCATCTGCTGGCAGCCTCCAACGACTACAATCGGGCCTTCTACTAAGCGACATGAGGTCGACGCGGCTGAGGTGGAGAAGAAGGACCTCACTGGAGACAAGCACGGCGGTGGCTGGGGTGGAGGAGGCCTGATTCCCGACACGCCCGTCCCCGGCGGGCCACTCGTTCCGGGGCCTTATGTCCCCGGTGGGCCGCTCATCCCAGGCCCCTATGTGCCTGGGCACCCAGTGACCCCAGACCCAACGTATCCTGGAGGAGAGGTCACACCGTCCACCTAGATGGTTGAGGCATGTCGAGATGGGATGCGGTTGGCAAGTGTCAGTCGGGGTGCCCCAAGTGAAGGATGCTGGCCATGATCGACTTGAGTCAGCCCGACGGTGGTATGGAAGATGGGAAAAGTGTGGCCAGGGGGGACAGTGACGATGTTCGAGTCGACTTCCCCCAAGTGAAATGTCTTTGATTTCTTTTTGGTCCTTTGATGTTTTTTTTTTTTTTTTTGTTTTGATGTCTGATAGTCCTTTAGTGATATTCTCTGCTTTTTCATCAACAAGGCTTGATTGACACAATGTCTCTGTTCTCTTCCAGAGTGACGATGCTCGACCTCCATGGCATACTATGGGTCTTCCGACACCACGCCTATCCCCAGACCCAATGCCGACCCCGTATCACTTTAAAATCTTAATCTGCAATGGGTAATTTCACTGGGGTGGATTTATCATTATATCACCCCCGGCGTCTGCATATTCCTGCTTCAAAGTATTATCAAGCCAGTGTGGTCTAAGAAATTGACGGAGACGTCTCGTGGTGTCATAGAGTCATGCCAGGCTCAAGACGATGACAAGAGCCATGGGGCTCGTGATGCATGTCCAGGAGGAGACCAGGTCCATTCTGGGTCTGGCATATCAACGGAGGAGCAAGACGAGATCACGTTCAACGTTGCAAAGGGACTGTCTCAGCTTTCGACTCATCCGTGTGAAGACGGCGGCGGTAGGCTGAGACCAAGGGGCGATGTCAGCGATACAGGCAGCGGACCAACAACAGGACAGTTGTCATACTGGGCTGAAGCCTGATCAGAACAACCGAATGATGATAACAAGCGGTGGTGGCTAAGATGGCTTTAACCAAGCTGGACACCTTGCTGTAGCTTTACTTGGTGGCGATCATGTACAAGCGTCGTATAGAATACCTCTTCCAGTGCAATCTATACCATCTATGGATCAAAGAGATGGACGGGCTTCTCATGGCAGGAGGGAATGCTTCATTGATATAGTTTTTCCCCTGAAGGAAGGTTGGAGATGTGCAAGCGAGGGGTGTAACGGCTGATTATATTCAGGTCCTTCCTACTCCTCAAGTACTTAAAAGCACGGTCCGCGTATTTTGTTACAGCCTGTTGCTGTCCAGTACTCAGACTCGCGTGTCGCGACTCCGGGCTCAGCTGCATCGGAGTCTGTGGTTTCTGAGCGGCCTTCTCCCCCAAAATAAAAAAAAAATAAGTAGAAAACTTTTAGTCAGATACAAACAAATTGTTTCAAAGATAGATAGCAACGTGATCTGGCGCACGGGCTAATGGCCGGTCATGAGATCTGGACTGCCTCTAGTAAGCCTTGCGGGCTTGCTGGACCGAGTCGGTGCTGAAAGCCTGGCTGTACGTTTTGACACGAAGTCTGCCAGGCCGCGACGGGAATATCTGAACGCGTCTGTAGTGATAGACTGGACTTGTTGGAAATATGAAATAGTGATGCGTCTTGCATGACTCTTAACATTATAGAACATCGTATTCCCATCGGTTCCTGAAAGTGTTGCTGCTAAAAACGACGCCGGTGACAAGGTCCGCCTGCTTTCTTTCTTGGCCAAATTCACGTGAGTCTTCAAATTCCGATTATTGGAGACAAAACTGTAGAGATATGCACTGCGCGATGTTTATCATGGTCATTGAGAGCCCCGCAATTCGGCTCCGATAGCACCTTAGCGATGGGAATCTAGTCTGTGACATTGAACTTGCTAAGTGAGACCAGCACGCCGAAGCAGCGCTACCAAGTATTTAAACCCCTAGATGTCATGTGCTAACAACACGTGAGATCCGGCGTGAAACATCACGGTGAATTCCATGACTTCAGCAAGACTAAATTAGTAGCTAACTCGGACGTTTTTGCTTGGGTCAAAATTCTTCCAGAGTCGCATTTTCGCCTTTGGTTTCAACTTTTCATCAATTTGGCAACAGCGGCCGAGAGTTGGCCGCTTCCCCTGCTCGTGTGCTACTATATCTATATAGTGTGTAAATGTATGGGAGTCATAGGACATAATCTCTGGTCAAACGCGTGGAACGCCTTGGAGAAGCCTCATGAAAGCAAATTGTATGGGCTTCCTCTGCGCGAGTTCATTAGTTAGCTCCTGGTGCGCAGCGCAACTCCGCGGAATGAATCTATTCTGAGAGCAGGCATCGATCAACACCGCGGGCATTGCAAGGATGAACATTGGGTTTCCTGCCTGCGTAAATCGAGCTGCGGTACGGCGAATACGGCGTTCAATCAAACCTCCAGTCACAGACTACTCCGACGAGTATTTATAGCCATCTGATTGCTCAACTCAACATACAAGCTCATCAGACGCTCTCATCACGTGCACAAATTTCTGATGTGCATGCAGCATTGCGAGCTCCAGATTGCTTCTATGCAGAGTAACGCGACTGGTCTTGTCTTTCTGAGATTCAGAAGACAAAGATCAATTCAACTACAAGGTAGAGGGCAAACATGATCCCTCTGCGCAAGTAATGGAATGGGGCGGTCACTGCTGCCTGTAGAACAGCCGAATATTACCGATTTGAAATGTGCTTCATATTGTCAGAGGCTTCCCGGCTATAGCTCATGTTCCTACTTGTGTGGTTGAATAGCCGAGAGTGCTGGGAGCCTCATCGGTGACAGTTTCCTTCTATGAAAGGTGACCGGAAGTGTGTTTCCAAGACAAAGCCTTCAGAGGCACAAAGCGAGGTGACATACAACACATTGTAAAACAGTGATTACATGTGACATCTATATGGTGGTATATAGAATCACTATGGTGAAGAGGCCTTGTTGGATCAGTTAGCGTATCTACTGAGGCAGACGTTTCTCGTGGTGTTGCTACGTGTCAACTCTCTCAGTCTCGCGAGCCACGCTTGTGTTTGATTATCGAATCTTTGGCCCAAGGGTGTAATGACCTAGAATATCTGCGATATTCATCAGGAGCCTATCCAATTTTCGTGCTTTTTTGATATTCAAATCTTTCACGCGTATAGACATTGAGTTATCATCCAACTTTGAGCGTGGTTTGCGGGATAGGGAATGTGCAATGCTGAACCTGACAACAAGGATGTCAGGGGAGCCTCACAACAGAAATGCACTCCCCTTCTTCACTTTACCTTGATGAGCTGACTCAGAATGACATCGTCAAGAGAGTACTGGAGCGCGTATGCAATCTGCCAAGTGAAGCGCTGTCCACAGGTGCGTGGCCTGCAAAGTCTCCGTCGTGAATATCAATGTATAAGGAGTTTGTGGAGGCCCCAGCTGAACCCATAGCTGTGATGCGATATAAGGGTCTTGAATATCTGATGAGCACACGGACAAACCCAACGTTTCTACAGGATGTACGCGGGCGGTAATGGACTACCGTGCCTTTAGTAAGTGGTCTACTAAGTCCCACTGTTGACGTGACCAACGCCTTGAGGTCTGGGTCTTCAGAGTGTGCCCTGAAGCGTGTCCGTAAAGTACTGGGTGCTGTTCTCGCCGCGTGGGAGGCCAGGCCCTGGTACCTTAAGTTACCTTGCAATTCTGCGCACGCGGACGATATTGAGCTTAAGATAGGTTGCCAGATCAACTCGCGCTGAGATTCTGCAACCATTTGATCCATACCAAGAGCATCTATTGCTTCTCGACTACAGTCCCTACCACAGTCATATTTCTCACCTGTTAGAGTTCTCATGGCCAAATCAGGACGTGTCTGGGTCACTCGACAGTGTAGTCTACAACATAGGCTAGCTCTCCTGATCAATGAGGAGACGTTGTCATTTGGCTGATGGTCTATCTGGACACATGAGTACGTTGACTGCGTTTCAGCATCCGACTTTGGCTGGTATGACATTGAATTTTACGGTGGTTTTGCTGCTTTTCGTACATTCGCTGTAATCAAGGAACAGTCAACCGATTTGATATCTACCTTGGTCACTGTGTCACTATATCTCACTTCTTCGAAGGTGCATCTGTGGTTCTCCACTTCTCCGGTAGCCTCGTGCCCATCTGCAGTTCCCATAATTTCCGATCAAACTTTCCGGCGTTCAAGGCCTCGTCATCCCCTGCGTATTTGAACGTCATGCCATGCGCTTGTGCTGGACTTTGATCGTCTGTGAATTGAATCCGGCACTGGACCGGCTCGTAAGCATTTGTCTCATACCGGGCAAGCTTCAGCTCGTCATCAATCGACCCGACGAGGTACGCGCATCCTGTTACTTCTTCACCGGGTTCGCCGTCTATAAGGGCACGGTACTGGCCCCAGTTTGAGAGTGCGTAGCCGATTAGTTTCGCAGGCCGCAGAAGGGGTGGTTCTTTGAGATCGAGGATGTGCAACAGGATCTTGGGTTGAGTGAGGGTGCCGTAAAAGAAGTAGTAGACTGGTTTGTAAGGTTGCTTTAGGATCGGTTCCTCCAAGGGGCGTGTCAAATAATCTGTTGGCATCGATGCAAGGCTGTTGAGGTACACAGACGGTGTTTCGACTGCTGGTTTGTTGCTATTGGCATCGATAGGTTTCCGAGGCCGAGGGGCTGGTGCAGGAGGTGGTGTCGGCGATGATGCTTTGCGGCCATTCGAGCTCATCTGGGCTGGTGTTGTTGTAGAATTGTTCGTAGGCATGTTTTCTATCACTTTTGGGTTGAGAAATTGAGATTTTCGTGATGGACTCGATGCGAAAATGGTAGACGGATCTTGACGGGTCGAAAGGTGAAGTTCACAAATCCCCACAATGTATGGCTGAAGCCTGGAGTCATGGGCTGGACGCTCGCTTATGTAATGCAGCTGGCAGCAGTCCCCAACTGGCTTCAGTGGCGGTGCATCTTGTTGGTAATGTCACCGGGCCACGACCACCTGCTGAAACTGCATGTTGGTTCATGCCACAGTTGGCCAGGCCAGGAATTCCAAATATAGTGTTAGTAATACCACCCACCAGGCAGTCGAGAGATGGCTTTCACACTCATATCCCTGGTTCGTTACGACTCCTTGTGTCTCCTGATTCGACCGTATGTTCTCGATGGACCTTTCAGAGGTGACCTGCCCGCTGCAACCGCCATGACAGACTTAGAACGGCCATTTCGAGGGCCAGGTGTCGACCGGGTCGTTGGCCATCTATTCCTGAATGGGCCAACAATGAAGGTTTGAGAAGTGCTGCGTGGTGAGGAGCAAGACTTAAAAAGGGATGCTGGCTGCTTCTCTGGTTCTTCAATAATCTCTAGAACTATACATCAATACAATCCTACTCGGCCCAGAAAGGCGTCTATTGATCACAGCGATATATTTGCAATCTCTCGTACTGTAATGACAAAGTTCTCTTGACTCTTTCCTATTTGTTAGCTTCCTGCTATCACCGAATTTGGAATCATCTTCTATTTACCTCTCTCTATCAATTTGAATCTTGTGCAACATGGGCGCAGGTCGCGGTAACGTTCCTCCTCCTCCTCCTCCTCCTCCCCAAGTGCCCGGCGCACCCCGACCTCCACTTCCCGCGGCTTCACAGCCTTCAAGCTCCTCGTGGACCCCTTCTATATCCTCCGAGAGTCTCGGCATTGGTATCGAGACAGAGTTCCTCATTCAGGCGCGTGAGCTACGTCCTGAGTCCGAAACTCGCAAGCTGTTCGCGAGAAACATGAGCAGAGAATATAATAGGCGAGACGAAATCTCAAAGGGAGTTGGGCCAAGCATGGAGAGTCTCATCGAGAATCTGAACAACCTGGGTAAAGAGACTCACATGACTTGGCGTCTGGTACATGACCCAACTGTTGAGACGCAATCCGCACCATGTAAGACGAAGTTCTTTCCGTATACGTCAATTCTCTACTCGTACGGTGCAGGCAATGGTAATCTTTTCAGAAGAGCTTTTGCTAATATTTGAAAAGGGGGGATGGAAGTCATATCGCCAATTCTAAGGTTTCAAAAGAATTCAGCCTGGAGGCAGCACGTTCAAACTCTGTGGAGCTTCCTTGTTTCCGACTACAGAGTCTCGGCCAATGCGAAATGCAGCACCCATGTTCACGTATCTAAGGCGGAAGGGTACACAGCTGAGCAATTAAAGAAGCTAGCACAAGCTGTCATTCATTTTGAACCCGCCTTTGAGGCTCTCGTGCCTCCCGAAAGAAGGAAAAACGAGTATGCCCGCAGCAACTGGATCGACAACAAGAACTTTGGCTACCAGAGGCTTTCCAGACAGGAATCCATCACGGTCCTCGAAAGATGCACCACTGTCAGGGAAATCGTTGACCTCATGAACCCAGATGGCTCAAAGTACTATGGTTGGAACTTCCAGGCTATACAGAAGTATAGCACCGTGGAATTCCGACGTGGCGCAGCTAGTACATCAGTGAACGATGTATTCTCATGGGTCGAGCTTGCAGTGAGTTTTGTGAAAGCTTCTCTCAAGCTTCAATCTGCTGCAGGTCTTAGGCAATACAGTGCGACCGTCAGAGGACTAACCCAGTTTATTGAACTGGGAGTTGTTGAAGGTCCTGGATTGAACGACAAACGGTACTTTAATAGACTGTTGGTCAAAAGAGGTCTCGACAAGAGCCCCAATGCAAGGCTGGATCCCGATCCTGTTGGAGAGCTCACGCCGGACAAGCTCAAAAAGCTGAATCAAAAGATCAGGCTTGACCAGCAGATGAACCCCATGTTGAACAACTTGGAAGTCGCCATGCAGACCGGCCCAATTGGTTGACATTCTTCCTAGAATAGAGTCTTGCAGTCGGTTGGATATGACAGGATATTGGATTAGCTAGGTCAAGTGATGCCTATAACTGAGTATCTGCTAAGTATTATGCGTATCCCTATTGGTGAAGCATTCAGTGGGTAAACAGTGTATTCATATTGCGTATCGGGTTTCCAGAACGGGAGGAAGTCAGAGGGGCTACGTGTAAGGGGCTGCAACACAGACGGTGAGGGCAATGAGTGTGACGGGCAGTAGCTTCAGATTGTCAAATTGAACTGATGTGGAAGAAGAGAGAAGGAAGGAAGCTACAAGCCTGTATAAACCTCCCAGCCAATGTAAGAAATAAAAAGCGCTGCCAGTGTGCAGCTTAGAGAGTTTATATATTCTGACATCCCCCCTTAAGCTGTACACTGGGTTTATAATTATTAGGTTAGAATTATTGATTGCTCAGGGACTTAAACGCATAACCTCATATGATCTTAGTATTGGAGTAAAAACCCTGGGTGGCTAGGCCAGGTAAAAACCTCCGTATTATTAATCAATTAGAGTTTGCCGCTCTTCCCAATAAGCTATTCGGGCTCATAACCTGTAAGAAATAAAAAGCGCTGCCAGTGTGCAGCTTAGAGAGTTTATATATTCTGACAGCCAATATATACATGGACCTGGTCACGTGCCAGACCATCTATAGGCACAGCCAGTTACACGCAGGCCAGTTAATGCGGCCGGTTCCGGGTACATTTTTCTTTAGGGCCTTACCTACCGGAAAATGCACCTAAAACTTGCTCACAGCTCTGAGTATTGTAATAGTGTCGGCCCTGGAATGTAGATAGAGACAGAAATTGTTCCATCCTTTTCTTGCCATTCTATAGATGGTCGTTCTGAAATCATATAGATGAGTGCTACTCTGGCCAAAAAGGTCTATACACTTCTCGTCCGCGCGGTCAACATATGTACTTGCCTGACAAGCTGTATTCTCCAACTCTCAAGCCCGCGTACCAAAATGAAATTCCTGGGACTGAACCTGCATCGACTGGCATTTTCCACCATCCAAACAACAGACTCGTGAGTGCCTTACAGATTGTACTGCGATCTTCGATGAGCTCGGCCCGAGGCTTTCAGACAGCTGGAATGACAAAGAGCTATTATAACAGACGTGCTATCAGACTCTAGGCACGCGTGTTAACGAAATTCAAACGCGATCTCTGATGGCGTGTGACTTGTCTGCGCCTAAGGATTTTGGACGGTGGCGGGCCGGGCCTTGGGCTACATGAAGTCATCATCGGCGAGAGTCATCTACTTAGCTACGGAGGGGAAATAGATTCGCGCATACCCTCTTGGCGTGGATTCATGCTTATCTAGCCAGGGACACAACTAAGGAGCCCTTTCAGGTGAGAACCTTTATGGTCGACTGACCAGTATACCGCAAGAGAACGCCCGGCCTGGGTCTAGTTAAAACCCGAGCCTCATTGTCTAGACCACACGAGGCTGACTCCAGGAAAACACAAGGGCGCTTAGATGCGCTTAATTGGTTCCCGCCCGTACCAGGCGACCGCTTTCTGACGACACAGATTTCAGACCGATGCAACTCTTCAGCCTCGAGCACTATTTACTACAGATTGATTCAGTAGTTCAAGAAATTGGAAGATCGCTGAGTGGCGAAACGCCATTCACGGGAGGCCTCATCTACCGACATACGTAGGCATGGAATGAACATACACGCACTCCGGATACGCACGCAAGACTGAGAATTATCTGCCAGTAAACATGATCGCGTACTGAGTGCCAGTCGATGGTAACTCGCACGCAATACACTCATGATAGGTGGAGATCCATCCACGTCAATGAACATTCCCAAAGGCTTCCCGGTCCCCAATAACTCCCTTACCGGCCCCGGCCACGCAAAAGCCCGAGCAGCCATCATGGCAGCTGAACATGCAACGTCACCATCCTGCAATCGTGAGATGGAGACTCGCTGGCACTTCCCGGCTTTGCGCTTCGGCCTGCAGGAGGCAGAGCACTGACGTTACTATATGCACAGGCTCAGGAGTGCCAGCAATCCCCGCTTTCACCGACGTTACCATGCAAGAGCATGACAAGGACTCGGAACGACGGTGGCATCGTCCCTCTGCTGTCAACGCCCTGCATCGCGGTGGGATCAGGTGAGCTTTGTTCCCCATCGGCGAGCTCAGGATGTGAGAGACTATCAAGTGTCGATCTTGTGCATGAGTGATGTAGAGTTGACGAGTCGGCTTTCACCACAGTGAAGGTTTCCTTGCCCCCCCAGACAAGCACTACGTATACATCGCGAGGAGCACTAGGAGCTCTGCCCGCATCGAAGACCCGGCTGTGTCAAGCAATGCGACCGCGCCCCGATAAGCCAGCGGCTTTGCGAGCTACGAGCAACCCAAGCAAAGAAATGCCTCTACGGGGCAAGCATCGTGGCGCCACTCGCTGAAACATGTCCCGAGACTTCACACGACTCTGCGTGTCATTGCTGGTGGGCCATTGAGACTCAACAAACCTTAGTTTATGGGAACATGGTGATGGCGGCGGTTGATATCTGAGCCGAAGTGACTATCTTCGAAAGCACGAGAGTCTTAGAGCCCCCAGGCAGCCGCGCTGAGCAGTGAAATGCCGCTGGTCCATCGCCTGTGAACGACCCCGTCCGTCCACTTTCGGGTGTGGACAAGGGCTTTGTGGCAGTCGGTCCACCGGCGCGGAGTCTACTGACAAATGCCCTACTGGTGGTATTCAATATTGTTCTAAAGATGGCGCGAGACGCCGGGGAGCCGCCCGTACTTTTGGTACGCAGTAGGGCCTGAAACCATTCGCCTTTGTGGATAGGCGCATCTACAGACGTGCAGTACTGGACTGCCCGACCGCCGCGACAGCCTGGCTGGGTATGCTTCTCGCGGGCGGGCCCCCCGGCGGGTGCAGTGCATGGTCGCCGCCGGCGGGCCATCAGGCCGTGAGGAGGGAAGGGAAGGGCCCCACAGACGTTCGTGGTTCTGGTATCGGTGACGCCCAGCAGGCTCGTCACACGCCCCTACGTTCGTATATCGAACGCCAGTGAAGGCGAGGGAGTGGCTAAATACACGACGGGCAAAGCGTCGGAATACGGGCCAGAAAGGGGGCGAACAGAAGCTTTCGGAGGACAGGTCAACCCCAACCCACAACCACCCACACAGTCCAGTCCTTCTACACCCAGACAGGCTCCGGCTTTCAACAGTAGGGGTCGAACCTAACAGTATGCGGTAGGAGCAAGAGACTCGAGCAGCAGGACCCAGCGTGCAAGCCCCGGGGGCCCACTGGCAATCCATCACGATCTGCGGGTCCCCACCGCCCAGATAGGCCAATGACGACGCATCTCGTAGACCCTCAAAGCCGCATCGAAGAGTCTGGGCTTTGGCCCCCGACGAGGGAAGTCTCGAGGTCACTCACCGCCAGAGTGCTGGATCTCCCAATAGGGGGTTCGCCCGGGCGACCAGCCCACTGTCTCCAGCGAAGAACTGCGGCTTGCTGTCCACGCCTTTTTTTTTTTCCCCCTCTCGCTCTCTCCAGCCCCAGAAAAACAACGCAGGTTTGACCCATGTGGCACTGATCCAGCGACATGCAGACGGGGCACGCATGCTCGCTCCACAATGAGGTGGGTGGCTGAACTACCGAGGCGTGCGAGGGCAGATGTCCAGATGGTGCAGGGTTCCACACTCGGGCGCAGACAGATGCCCACATGTTGTCCCTCTCTCTCTCTCTCGCGAGGGAAACAGGGCCAAGCATCAACCCGATTCGGTTGAAACAAGAAACAGGACCACCAAGAAGCCCTTGGACCCTCGAAAGTCAAGAGGCAGGGAGCACCGCTGTCGTGGGCTGGGGGGCGGGCTTGCTCACGTCGTCCAAGCCCCGGGGTTGGGGAGCTAATGCAGGCTCTCGAGCATGTCAATGTCTTTGTCCGCCAGCGAACGAAGATGGCGGCGGACTGGAGGGCCACCAGCCAAGGAGGGCATTGGAGCTTATGCAGCGGGCCACCCGCACCTGGTCGGCCGGCTGCCATTGTTTCCTGCGGGAAAAAAGAAAAAAAGAAGGCAAGAGTCGCTACTGTACCTAGGCCCCAGCAGGGAAAGGAACAGGAGATCAAATGCCACTAGCGCCGTGGCCAGTCCATCGGATTTTCATGGGCTCGGCAAGCTTCATGCAAGAGATCGAGCTCTTCCTGTCACGGCCTGGTGGTGATGGGAGGATGCCCCGGATAGGCATGACGACGGTGTGCACGGCCTTCGCGATGGTGTCGGTCGAACCTTGGCTGCATTGGACCGAGTGCCTCCTCCGTGCGGTTGGTAGGTAGTCCTGTTCCCTTCGGAAGAGAAGGGAAGAACAACCTGGCGGCTCATCGCATTGCCCGAGTTGGTTTGTGTCTCTCACACACGCAAGTTCAAATGCAGCCAAATTGCCGAGTAGCATCGCGTGTGAGAGAGACAAAAAACCGCCGACACGCCTGCCTGCAAAGGGCAAATAGCATGGCTATTATTGCCCCGTCGAGGCAAATGAATAGTCGTGCTAACAAAGCGCCGCTCTGCGTGCTTGCAAGCATCGTCTTGCGCCGCTGGCGACGGTGGTCTAACATGACAGCATGGTAGACCGCCGTATATTAAAATGTTTCCCAAGATCCCTGGCCGTCAGAAGCTTTCTCGGGCAGATTGTCGATGCTACGTGAGATAAATTCGCCCGGCCCCTGGGCGGTGCTCACGATGCTACGCGATGATCAGGCCGGTGAAGAGCGCCCGCATCAAGCGTGATATTGCAGTGATCCGCACCCGGTAGCAACTCAGAGGTTCAGAAGTAAGACAGGCTGAAGCCGGAGGCTGGATGGAGGCTGCAGACAGAACGCCCAGGAATCGTCCTGGCTCTTCGCGCTCCACCATTGTCACCAGAAGGCACTGGCACGTAACAAGTGCACAAGTGCCAACAGGGCAAGCTTCGCATAAGCAGTGAGTAGTCTAGTAAAGTGTGGAAGAAAGAAAAGAAAGAAAGAAAGAAAGAATAGTAGATCACCAGGGGCCCCATCGCTTCCCACCACCACGGCGGAAAACATTACAACACAGACATGTTGGCACTAAAATAAATGGCCGAACGGGGCGCTGCACCGTTTCCTTGGGGTGTGATGGCTCGGTCGGGGATTGGGCGGGCGTCATGCAACGTCCATCCTGGCACGTCTCACGCTTTAATGCTGCACAAAGCACCAAAGTAGGGCGAAGCGTCGCAGGGGTGTGCGCGGCCAATCAGCTGCCCACGATGCAGCTCACAGGAAGGGAACAGAGCGTCGAGGTCCGCCCTATGCAGAGCAGCAAATGTGAAAGGGTCATGGGCACGACAGCCTGGACAGGACGGTGTGGTGGGTGCCTCGCCCCGAGATCAGAGTGGCTTGAGAAGAATGACTGGTGGCACCACGCACACTTACTCTCTCTCGTCGCGCGTGCACCTGCACGAGCACCAAGGACGGACGTGGTGGTGCTGGTGTCGGTGCTGTGCTTCCACGCTAGCTTCGACGCCCCTTCGACGTCCTGTTCGCTGGGGCGGCCGTCATCTGGTGTGACAGGCATCCGGCCTCGACCAAAAAAGAGGCCGGTCCCCATTTTGGCAGTCTAATTGATTATTATAGGGCCGGCAGATCGACGTAGTCGGCTGACGGACGACGACGCTTCGTCCTGATGATGGTTTTGCGGCACTTTGGTTGCAAAAGTGAACAAAGGAACATCCTCTGGTTCATCTCACTGGTTCTAGGCCGAACATGGATCAGACTGGACCAAGCTGAGGCCGCTGGGGCTGCCAGCCAAATTGGTGATGCTCGACGTCCATGACGGGACTGCCCGCGTCGCCGCGGGTCGGTGTACATGCCCGGCTGACAGTCGTTCTCATTAGATCATGATAGGCGCAGTTTTCGTCAACAACGAAGACAACGGAATGTTTGGTCCAAAACGTTGTACTTGTATTGAACACTGGGGGCACAGCTGCTCTGTGCCCCCTGCCTCGTCCAGGAAACCCGCCGCAGCGCGGCGAGGATGCTCCTCCCGAGAGCGAGTGAAAACGTATATCCACTGAGCCGCGTGAGCGGCTGACAAGATTGGGATGTGGTCCCGAAATCTCTAGACTCATAATGTCCCGTTTCTCATAACATCTTTCCCATTTTCCTCTTGATGCCAAATATCCAGACAGCCCTCCCAGATGTTGGTGACAGGAAGCGAACGCGGAATCGAAAACTGTAAGCCGTCCCGAGACAATCTATGACCGTGCTGAGCACGCCTCCAAATGCACTGGACAGACCTGAAGGGATCCAAAAAGGCGCCGTAAGTCCCAAGGTGAAAACAAAGCTCCGGGAAAAACGTGTTCGAGGTTCCTTTCGACCTTCGAGCTCAACATCATCGACCGCGGTCAGAACCGCGGCGGCATTTTTGGAAATAATGCCTCCACAAATCCAGCCCCAACTCCGTGCTGAAACATATGAAAAGAATAAAAAGAATGGGGTCAAGCCCCCCCCCCAAGCCCAATAAATTAAAGTCATATACAGAGTAGGCTGTAAAATGAAATCCGGCTTTTGTGTGATCGTTGGTTGAGACCCTGGGTACTGTGTTCCGCAGGATCGAACCTTGTTTTTTTCTAACATTTTGTTGACATCCCGAACCTGGTTTGGCCAACTCGTAAGACTCCGGGAACGTGGCGGAAAAGGAAAGTCAGAGGTTGATGACTGTAGGATCCAATGGAAGCAGCGTGATACATCCAGCCTGGGGTACCTTGCCAAGTTATCAGACAGGCTGAGAAGAAGCCTTGTCCTTTTCACCAGTATGGGTTTGGTTTGTACTCAAAAGCCTGGTACAGGAAACGAAACCTGGGGGTATAAATGCAGGGAATGGTGGATCTGAGCGGGCGGAGCGGCGTATTGCCTGAAAATGTCCCAAAACTGGAATCCAAACTTGGGGGCGCAGTTTCCGTGGGATGCCTGTTGTAATGGTTGTTGTACTGGCTGTGGCGGCTCTGGCATGACTCCATGGTAGATGTTGAATTGTGGTCCACAGTTCATTCTTGGTTCGGCTGGCGCAAAGCTGGCCATGGGTGCATGGGGAGAGACAGCGACATTCGGCTCCACTGAGCAGTCAGGGCGGTCCTCGTTGTCGAGTCCGTCAACAGAGTCATCATCTGAAGAGGCGCCATCGATCGAGTCATCGTCTGAGGAGTCCCCATCCGAGTACTCGTCGTTAGATTCGGCAGGTGAAGGGGGGTAATCGTAGTCCATGGCATCGGTGACGCCGTTCTCCTGAACATATGGCGAGGACGGAGGGGTCGGCAGAGCTGGCTGCTCTGTGCACGTAAATCTGGAACAGGCCAAAATCCTTTGCTTCAACGCAGGTAGCGTGATCCTTTGTTCTGGGTCGCGGGTGAAGATACTTCCAAGGATGTCGTTCAGTTCGTCCGACACAGGAAGAATGGTCTTGAGAAATCCTGCGCTCCGGGTGTAGGCCCGGTACGTGGAGTCCTCGACGGAGGCTTGCTTCCATGGGTTCCGTCCACAGGTGAGGTTCACCAGTATGACTCCTAGGCTCCAGACATCATTTGGGGCGCAATAGTAGAAAGGCCTCCGGGATGAGTGGTCCAAGCATTCTAGAGACAAGGGAAAAAGGGAATAGTTAGTGGCTGAACCGGGGATATCGGCGAGATCACTGGCTGGGCCCGCGACAAAGCTTACCTGGTGACATGTAGAAGGTCGAACCACAACCATAGTCGTCGGATCGTTCAGATGAGGTGGCCAGGCCGAAGTCGGCGAGCTTCACGGTCTCCCCTTGGTCTTTGACGAGGACGTTCTCCGGCTTCAGGTCCCGATGGTAAATCCCCCGGCTGTGGCAGAATTCTACAGCATCCAGGATCTGAAGGAAAATCCGCTTGGCCAAGTCATCCTTACCGACGTACTGCCCGCATTCTGTGATATTGTAGAAAAGATCACCTTCAGGGCAGTACTCCAAAATGACAAAGATGCAGTCGGAACCGTCGATAATCTTCAACATGGACACGACATTCCGATGGGCGGAAGCCTCCCAGTGCAAACGGATCTCCCTGGTCTGGAAAGCCATTTGTCGTTGATCCAGGGGCGTTCCATCGGCATTGAACTTGCTGAGCGTCTTCACGGCATAACGAACATTGGTGAAAATATCGACGGCCGAGTAGACGACTCCATAGGCACCAGTGCCGAGGATCCCGTCCAGCCGTAGCGAGCCCGCCAGGCAACTTCCTAACCTGTCCTCAGGGGCGACTGGGACATATCTAGGCAGAGCTGGAGCCGGTGACTGGGGAGGGGACGGGGGGAGACGAAAAGGACCTGGAGCACCTGACGAGGCGATCGTGTAATTCTGGCCAAACCCAAGTGGACTCAAAGGAGGAGAAGGAAGATGGTTGAAAGCTGGTGCTGCGACATGACACATGATAAAGCGGCGGAGTGGGTCCGAAGTCCTGGAAATAATCCCTTCTGGCTTGCGAATGGGGCAGTCCAGGAAAGACCAAGAGAGCAAAAAGAAAATTAGGTGTCGACAGGCGGCATCAATCCAAGTGAGGTTCGAAAATCCAAAATGTGGACAGCGGTAGACTTTTGTCCTGATACTATGTCGGCTTTTGAGGAGGTCCTGGCCGTCCCTGTGGTTGTGCCGGAACAAACAAAGATGACGTCGAAGTCAACGACACTCGAGAGCGGCAGTACTCCGTACAGGATGAACAGGTCGGTCGAAATAGTTGGTTCCCAAAAGTGCACGGAAGGGCGAATATCCAAATCCTCGGTTCGTTGATGGAGGAGCGAGAGTGGTTCGAAGGTGAGGCGAGATGAAGAATGTTGTGAGGCTTGGAGGTGGTGCAGAGAGAGGATATGGTATGCAGCCGTACGAAGAGGGCTGACGCGATAGATATCCGTCTGAGCCTACTGTCAAGCCCCAGCTCGTCTCGAGATGAACCTGGTGCACCCTTGCGGCACAGTACCAATACCAGAACCCAAGAGACCGCAGCAGGGCACAACCTGGTCGAGACCAGGCAGGGGATCGTCCGCCTTGGCTTCTATTCCTGTGTGGGCCGCGGAATGGTGGTGATGTAGGCAGCGTTACACTGAGCTAGCGACACGCCTTTTTGGGGGGTGGGTGCATACAGAAAAATTGGGCACCCCCTCTGACCCCTGTGCCCCTTTAGTAAACGCACAGGGCCCGGCAGAGTTAGCGTGGCCCTTCTGTGTGCTGGCCTCCTCTCTTCCCGTGTTATGGCTTCCAACTGGCGAACGCGTTGTTGCGACATATGCCCAGCAGCCTGGAGGAGATAGCGACAGCGGCGGCGAGACGCTTCGGTGGCAAGCTGTCACGGTATGAGTCTTTCCTGCACTTTAAGCAAGCAGGACGAGTGAGTAATACATGCCGTGAAGATGGCGAGTGTTTGTTCACACCACTGACCCGTCCCAGCCGCTTGGTCGCTTTTGGGCATGCGCGCCAAACAAGAGGCGATGCAGTGCTTGTGCTGCTGCAGAAGTTTCCTCGTGCCGTGAGACTAAAAGCAATGCTTGCTCGCTGGCAGTGACAGCGTACTATCTGTGTGGTGTTCCGGTCTATGTGGCTGTCGTGCTATTGGTTTTGCTAGAGTTCAGATGAGAACTGCCCAGACCACCTCGCCTCACTTTGATTGGCCACCTGGGTGCTGTCCGTGGGCATCTTACTGCCCACGCCCCTGTGGAGTCTTGCGCTTGAAGACAAGATGACGCGGTATCTGTAGGGCAAAGGTGATGTGCGAGATAGAGAGGTCTAAGACTGGTGGGTTTCCAGAGCCAATGAGACAACCCGCGGGATGGCGATGTTTCTGTAATGTCAGACCCCGATGCGCATATCGGAATGACCTACATAGCATGCCAATGCGACACACGTGAAGCTGCTGATTGTGTGGCAGCCGGGTGCCAAATTGTGAGGCATGTAGAACACGGCAACTTGGCCCTTGCGGAGCACGGACTGTCGTTTGGGCTGGCATCAGCGTACGGAACAACAACAACAACAAAGGCGCGGCTTGATAGTCAACTTGACAAGCAGACAAGCCGGTCCTCTAGAGCCGACTCGCACATTATTCGCCAGGCTAGCAGCTCGCAATCTTGATCGTGCATACCATCAGAGAGCCGCTGGGATGCTGCTGGCGGGCGCACGTTGAAGGCGCGACTGCATGTCCTCGGTGGCAAAGCTGCCCTGTGCGCCTTAGCCCTCAACGGTGTGTGTGCCTGTGTGCCAGGTGTGCGTGGTACCGTGGTAGTGTCCTGGGGAGACGAAAAACACACGATAGGTCGTCCAGACGGCCGAGCCACGATTGGGTGGAACGGGGCGAATCAAAGGCTGGGTCAGTTTATTGACGGCGCATTGTCATGCAGCCATGTTCGTGAGGGAAGCCTCGTGATGGCACAGGATCCCCAGGGATTTGCTAGGGCCGCAGCTTGCCGAGGGGCGACGAGAAGAAATGAGGCTGCCCAGGTGTCTGTTGTGTGTCTGCCGTGTGTCTGCTGCGTGTGGAGGCCCCCCTGGCTGCCTGGTCAGTCTGGGCCCCCGTCCTTGCCGTCCTTGCTCAGCACTGCGTTGCCTCCCCCCCAGCACCCCCACCCCTCCCCCCTGCACAAGAGTTTCGAGTGAGGGTGGCTCCAGGCTCTCGTGCCAAATCAATCATGCGCATCGTAATTTGACAGGCCCGGCGGGTTGTTGACCTTGGGTGGGTCCCTGCCCACACCACGCAGACAGCCGGCAGCCAATCCAGCGCGGCCAGGACAGTACATGGGACAGTACCAGCCTCCAGTCCCCAGTCTGGGCGGTTTGGCCGCCTCGTGTCGATCACGGAATGGGCACAAAGGTGTGAGTGGGACCGGTGGCGGCGTGCCATTCGATCGATTGGGGCCAGGGCCAGGGCGAGCAGGGCCGTGAGTCAATAGAACGAAGGATGGACGAGATGGATGGTTCGGATTTGTTGGCGCCGCAGTAGAGGCCTGCAGGTCGACTGCGTGGCCAGCGGCCCCCGACCCTACTGGATGCTACTGGACGTGCCCTGCTCTGACTGCCACAGTAGCCACAGTAGCCGGTCGGTCCTGTCAGTCTGTCAGCATTTCGACGCTCTTTGTGCTTATTCTCTGCCGGCTCTGCTGTCTCCTTCCCTCCCCGTCCCCGCCCCCCCTGTCCAAACCTAGTCGTCGTCACTGGCAGGAACAGGGCGGCGGCGGGGGCGGCGGGGTGGTGGACCCAGTCAGCGTTGCATCTGCAATCTGTGGGAGGGTCGCATGCATTGGCAGGCGTCGCAGGACCGCCTTGATGCCAGCACGCTTGGCCCGGAATGTTTCCTGACGAAGGTTTGGACAAGTTTGAGTCCAAGGCTACTGGCCACAGTATGTTGAGTCAGTGCTGCACATGCGGGAGGCGCGAGACTCGGGACTGAGGCTGGGGTGCTCCTGCGATGATGGATGATGCTATGCTGCCCACGGTGACGGCGAAGGGGATAGGTTTCTCCCGCCCGGGCTGAATGTGTCGTTAGCTGGGCAGCAGCAGTACGTGCACTAACGCGAGAGAAGGCCAGAGCGCACGCTGACATGATAGTGCACAGTTGGCTCCTTAGTCATCAGGAGCGAGGGAGGGGCACCAGGGTACCTCTTTCCCAGCATCTTGTGACGGCAGCAAACGTGCAGTACTGTGTACACCCCAGGAATAAATGTTGGCTCAGCAATTTCGGCCGCGATGCCTTCCTTGGGAAAAGCATTCTTTCGATTGGAACCTTCCAAGTCTTCGCACGCCCCCAGTTTGGCCGTCCCTGGGGTCCACTCCCACGTTCTGCATGCCCTTCGAGCCTATCAGTCGCTAGCGTGCGTACTGTGACAGTGTAATATCCCGATCTGCAATTAGAAGCCATCGACTCAGACGATCCCCTGCAATCGGGCAGTATGATGTTCGTGATGAGCGACTTTCCGAAAGCCTCGATTGTCTGTCTATAATGAGTACGTACAGTACAGTAGTAGCCATGTCTGCGTCTCCACCGAGCGCCAATTGCAGGTCCCACCCCGGCGTCATCAAGCTCCAATGGGCTCCAATGGGCCAGCGCAGCTAACAGCCGTTCTAGAACTCAACGTGCCACTCGTTCACATTGCGGAGGATAAATCCAATCTTGCAACCCCTGCCAGTCTTCTGCGGCGAACCACAGTTACAGTAAGCTAGCTGCTGGCGCCAGCTGAACTGTATCCATCCCGCTGACCTGCGCCTGCATACCATGTGCTCAGTGCGTGTCCAGCAGAGTCAATTGCCAATCTGAAACCACGACATGGGATATTGGCCAATGGCCACTGGACCCTGGCTCCATCATCAACCTCAGAGGTTGGTGAGCGCTTCGCTACGTTCGGACAACAATCACGCCTCGTCTGGGTCCAAACCTCATCTCCTTTCGAGCGGCTGTGCAGGCCAAGGGAGCGCGGCCTTGTTTGCAATGCAGAAGGCTGCTCACGGTCGGGGTCGGTCATCCAATATCTTGACGCCTGTGCCACTTGCAAAACATGTGGCGAGCGAGTGATACGGTAAACGTCGTATGAACCATCCGAGCATCCAAGCATCCAGCCCCAGCCCCCGCGTGCAGGCCGCCCAGCACCATCACCAGCACATGCTGACCCCAGACTGTGCAATGTGCTGCTGTTGGCTGCGGTGCTATTTTCAGCAGCGGTTGCAGCCGCTGCCGGAGTATCTCTCATCGTCGCCACTGCGGCATGGTCCATGGTGAGACGTGCTCCCAGATCTCCAAGGTTTACATCCACGGCATTGGCATCTCAAGACTCACGCACACCGAAGATCCCTTGGGGCTTCATCCGAATCCTTGCCACGTCCAGTCCTGTCCAACAACACGAGCCATGTCCGACCTGGACGGCCGGATCTCGCAACTCCAGGACAACGATACTATGTTCGAAATATGGGACACTCTTCGGACGGCAAGGAAGTCCCGGCTCGTTTCTCCACAGACAAATCCACCCCAGCACCCTTGATACGCACGTCCAACAGGGCCTGCAAGACGACAGCCTAGCCTGGACTGCGTAGCCTGCAGTAGATTGGGGAGAGTCTGATCTTCAGTTCGATTGCTTGGCCGTCAGGACGTCGGGGATTCACGGTTTCGCGACGCTGGACCGGTTCCATAACCCACAGATCACCAAGCGATCATCAGCCACCGACCGGGCAAGGGTCGATGGGATGAGGCGCGTACTCGTGCTCTGGTGCTTCATCTGAACTTGCTGTCAAGGGCTAAAGCTCACCCGAAGGACCACCCGTGCATGCCGTGTCAAACTGCGACAAGGTGTCTCGCAACTCCCGCTGCTTGCCCAGATCTGGCGGGACCCTTTGGAAGATCCTGCTGTCATGCTGTCCTCGTCGTACGGCCAGGACAGCCCACCGCTCTGGAGAGCCGCTTCGTGCAGTGGTGCCCGCCTTGGCGAGTCCGGGCCCAGGACCGCTGCGTCATGCCGTCCCGTTCCCCAAACGCCAACCGTCCTGTCGGAGCACATGGTGTGGCAACGGAGACCTCTCTGTGGCCTTTTTTGGTCCAGCTTGGCCGAAGCTGTCAACTACGACATCACGGTCTAACAATACCGTGAAGCCTCACTGCGCACTATACTCGTATCTAGCCCCCCGGAGCTCCCGCCCTTTGCCACAACACCGAAGTAAATTGATATGTGCTACGTTCACCGAAACCCTAATTCGTCGTGTCCCTTATAAGCCGCGCTTCGGCCGATCGTTCTCGCCATTGGCTCGTCTCAAGGCTTCGCGTCGGTCGCTCAACTGGCAATCTATTCGCGATATTCCAGATGTTCGGGATGTGTTTCTAGAAAGGCATACCTCGGAGGTGGGTGTCCTTCGGGCGTATCGTTCCGTCGTACTGAGGTCCGCACGCCTGACCTTGAAACAAACCCTTGATGACCACAAGATCCCCCCAATTCATGCGCGCCGCTTACGTCTTGCAAGCTGGCGCCATCTTCAGCCTTTTCCTCGAATCATTTGGGACGAGAGCGGTGAGCGACAATGCATTAACATCAGAGGAAAAAGGCTCCGCGTTGCCCCAGGTCTTGCCTGGTGCCCACAAATATCTGCTCCCGCAGCGAGGCGGCGTCTCAGGAGCAGCGGCGGCGTCTGACAATCATGACTATCACTGCATCGGACGATGGGAGGATTCATCCCAGAGATCTCCTCCCTCGCCGGGGGGACCTCATCTTTCGAATCTGGCGAACGGATCCAGGAGGCCACCGTGCGCAATCTGTGTCCTCATCCAGTCAATGTGACCCCCCTGCCGCAAGCCTCTTGACAGGCCCACCCCGCCGTGGGTAGGGGCTCATCTACGTGAGGCAAAGCCTTCGGTGATGTCAGGGCCCTGCAGGTGGGGGCCCCAGCAGGGACCGACAGGCCCTACACGACGCCGCCTGTAGGATCTGCCTTCCGCAAGACATGGTCGGCAAGGTGAAGGCTGCTCGTCTGCTTTCCACTTTGGGCCATCTCGTCTTTCATCATCGCGGCGTCGCTAGAGGATCACCCTTCCTGCAATTTAGCGGCACGGAGGTCTCACCCGGGCTCCATGGTCAGCAACAGCGGGCACTACCAAGTACATGCGGTGATGGTGTTGATGATCTCGCCAAAAGGATGATGCTGTACGTAGATTGATCGCTCACACCCTGACGTCTTCATTTTCGTCACCTCATCTACATCAATCTCGATGGACCGGGAGGACTGCACACCACCATCTCGACCCCATCAAAAATAGTGTTTTGTTTCTGGCCGACCGAAGGAGTCACGCTATCAATGCTCCCCCCTTCTAGAATGGGCCCCTGGCGAGAGCACCGTTGTAGTCGACCAGCTTAGCACCAAAGCCAATGGAGCATCCACGCTGTCGGGGAAGCTAGCGGGCGCACGGCTTGCATGAACAGCCTCTGGGTAGCGTGAAAACGGTCCGCAGAGCTCCAGTCGTGCCCAGCCAAAGAACAGCGACTGCCAATTCAGATCTCGATGGCAAGTGCTATCTCCATCCAAATGTAGTCACGATCCTACCGTGTGCGCGCCAAGAGATACCCGAGTGACGCTGACCCCCTGACCCACGGAGACAGCCACGGTGAAGGCATTCCTTGGGCCTGGTGCTTGCGGAACTTCGTCCGCCCACTGTCAGGATATCCTGACATTCACCGACTTTAATGACATCTTAGCTCGGTGGTTTTCTGCATGCAACCATTCCTGACTGTTCAGAAAATAGGGACACGCCAGTGGCGACCCGGAAGAGCAGAACAGCAGATGGGTCATATCAAGTGACCAAAGTGGTCTGCCACCGGGCCTATCAGAAGCTTTTCCCATCCTTCGCAGGACCAGTCTCTGCGAGCGGCCAGGCGGCACAGACTCACTGACCAGAAGCAGTTGGCGCAGGTGCAGGGGACTGAGGAACCGATCCACCAACGGAAATCCTGGGGGCCAAGACATGCTGTATCAAAAGAGCCAGCCTTCCTCATCCCTTCCAGCCAGGCCGTCCAATCACAGGCGCGGCTTCGCACACCGACGGCCCAGCCTCGTCTGCAGTTGTCGGGCGCACGTCTGACAAGTCTCAAAAAGGAGGACGCCCGGCGCCTGGCGAGATCACTTCTTGAGATCGCTGGTGGCTCACGGGCGCCGTGCTGGGTGGCTACATTTGGGGGCCCGTCATGCGGCCTTCCGAGAAAAGTTGCCAGTGAGCACGAACACACCACTACCACACATTTCAAAAGCTGATGGGATGACAGGAAAGACAAGCCACCGGTCGCACATGCACGATGGCTGTCGACGCGCGCAGCAGCACACCCCGTTGGACAAGTGCCGGTCGTGCTGCATCCGCTTTGGTCCAGCTCCTCCTCCCTGGGCACTTGTGCTTTTTTCCGACTCTCTCTCTCACTCCCTCACAGGCTCGCAGCTGGGGGCGTGGACGGACATCTGTCGATACGGCGCTGCAGGATGGACTGGTGCGACCCTCCCCCAGGGTGGCCACCTACACGACCGAGATAGATGCTGCACAAGGGGAAAAGAGCAGATCTCACGTTTGGTGGATCGACGTCTCCTGTCAGGTGGGACGAGGGATCCCGAGGTAGGATCTCCCGCCTCATCTGATGAATAAGGATGTGCTATGGGAAAGGAAGGCGCTCGCGTCCCTCGTCGCACAGGAAAGAGAGCCACGACGATCTGGACACCCGAGAAAGTTGACATGTCGCCTAGCGCCAACGTGTGCTCCCCTCACCACCTGCCCTGTTTGCCTCCGCCTTCCTCTTCGCCTACAGGGGCACGCGCCCTCTTGGCTGACAGAGACAGACAGCCAGCAGTGGAGTGACTGAGTGGTAAATGTTTATCAAGTTTGCGTCTTCTTGTGTCGCCCGCTCGGTCGGCGGGGATCACCAGCTGTGCCTTAATATGGGACATGTGCCCTCGAGACGCACATCGTCCTGTCTCGTGACCGGTCGGACCTGCAGCACCGGGGTACGTTTCTGGGAGCTGAACAAGGTGTTTGCCCTGGCGGTATTCACATCACTGGTTTACACCGGAAGCAGGCGCACGCATGCCCAGAAACCATGGGAGCTTGTGAGTGAGCGAGACCTACACATGACCTTTCTGACAGGTCCGGGGCGCCACAATGCCGCAATGGGCAAGAAGGGGCTCACCCCCTTCCATTGCTTATGAGCTTCATCAGTGTCAGCCATTGATATTAACCGGATAGGTGTACCTCCTCTTCCCCCAGCATTAAGGCCTCCCGCCCGGTCGTCACACAATCCAGTGAGCCTCGTTATGTTTCGGGCGGCTGCAGTGGACGAACGGCAGCACCAAGGTCCCACGGCATTTGCATGCGTGTGTGTGCCCGGCACCCAGCATTTGTGCGAGTGGGCGGACGAGAATGACTGCATGCAGTAGGCGCTCCGTCCGTCCTGCCCTTGCTTACCTCACGAGCAGCAGCCGCCCAGGATCGATATTGATCATGCTCGTTTCTGGGGCCGCCCCAGTGGCGATGAGATATTTTGGCCCCCTGGCCTTTTGCTCTGGGCTTGTGCGACGGGTTGATGGCCGACGACAACCGTCGTTGTCAAAATGCCAAGTGGCAAGTGACGGCACGGTAGGGACAACCCCTCTGGGGTGCCTTGTCGGAAAGGGAACGAGGTGTGTGGATAGTGAAGAGGTCAACGGTTGCCCACATTCAAATGCCAAGGATGATCGCAGCAGAGGTACTCCTCTTCGGCGACTCCATTTGTGAAGGTTGGGAGAGCTTGATGCTGAATTTCACGATCTTCATCAAGAAGACTATGAGACCCTGAGGCTGTGTTGGTTGCGGGGACCGAAGACCCCGGGCGAGGACGACTACCACAAGTTGGTACGGCACTGTGACCATCCTCCTGATCAAGACGATTCCCCGGGCGTAATTTCACTGGCCGCATATATTTGATTTCAAGGTTGCTGCGGGGCTTGGCGGCGGATGTCAATACTCTGAAAGAGGTAAAGCACTTCATCTCAGAAATTGCTGACCACATGTAAAAATTCTATGCCCGTTTTGTATACTTGATCTAACGTGAAAGTCTATTTCCGACTGCCAAAAAGGAATCCGGAGATGGTCAAATATCGACAGGCGTGAGGCCGGCAGGAATTGGCCCAATGAATCCGACCTCAGTTTCTCTAGTACTCACTATGTACCCACTCATTCTTGTCTAAGCAACCATCCACCCCTCCCCACGCGGTTCATCGTCGCGATGTCGTGCTTGTCCCGATCTTCTCATGAAAGAAGGGGTGCTTTAGCGCTTCCGCAGGCGTAATCCTCTTGTCAGGGTTAAGAGCGAGGCATCGGTCCAACAAATCGTGAAATAAGTTAAGGTGCTTGGCCTCCACCTCGTCCATGCCGCTGGATGCGGCCATGAGGCGTGTGCGAAGGTCCCGTGTGCTTCACCACATTCAGGATTCTGATATTGGTCTGTTGGTGCCCAGAAGAATGAGGTTAGCTCTCAGCTCAGACTACATTTTGCCAAGTGATACAGGATCTTGAAGGATGGATGGGGATGGCATGAAGGATGCAAGTCACATGCATAAGCTCCGAGGGCCGCCAGCGGGTCGCTGCCGCGAAGGATGGCTAGTCATTGTGGCGGGAAGCGGAGGCAGTCGTCACCGGGACAGCCGGGGCTGCGATTTGGTGGCCCAGCGGCTACGCTGGCCTCTGCAGGCCAGGACATGTCTGCCCCTTGGCGACGTCGGACCGCAGGTCGCAACGCTGGCCTACCATCTGGCGACCCGCACTTGCGGGAGGAGGAAGGGTAAGAGTGATGGCCCTGCATAACCTTGATAGTTTGCTCAGCCTGCGAGTGGGTCGCCAGCGTGCGTGGAATCGCACCGCAGCAGCGCTTAACACGACTCAGACAGCAACGACCGCAGTGTGGCAGACACTCCCAAATATACCGTGGCTCCACGACCAAGCAATTATGCATGACCGTGCTTCATGCTGTCGTAGTGCAGGTGACGAGGGGTGTGCCCAAAAAGACGAGAGACGGAAAGAAAATTGTAGCGCACCTTTCCCAAGACCTTATCCCTCTCCTGACTGACAAAGTTTCCCATGTCGTCAAAGTGCATCTGCCAGAGTTGACCCCGGCGATAGAGCTTGGCGCTCATTTTGCCCCTGATCTCGATGATGGCACGCAGCATCTGATTGTTGCTATCACCCGTAAATAGAATCTTGCCCGTGTAGAGCTCGTACAGTGTGCAGCCGATGGACCACATGTCGATGGCATAGTCATTTGGCATTCCAAGAATAATCTCGGGAGCCCGGTAGAATCTACTGACGAGGTAGGGAGTGATCTCATTGTGTGCTGTCGCTGCGTCAGTTCGATCGATGGCCGTGCCCAAGTCGCAAATTTTGAGGATGTTGCGCTGCTCGTTGACCTGTCACCTTGTAAGTCTTGTGCCTCGATATCTGAAGTCATTATGGATTGTAGGTTTACCAGAATGTTGTCAGGCTTCAAATCCGCGTGAATGATGCTGCATTTGCGCATGTGTGCTAATGCCAAGAAAGTCTGATAGGCATATGCCTTCGTCGCGTGGAGGTTGATGCCGACGTTGTTGCCGAACTTCTTCAGAACCTCTCTCAGGTTCAAGCTGAGGTTCTCAAAGGCCATGCACAGATGGCCCTTGTGCTCGAACGAGCGCTCGAACTTGACAATGTGCTTCTTGTTCTCTGGATCAGCCGAGTTAAGCTTCTGAAGGATGGCAATCTCGGTGAAGCCACCCTTCTTCAACGCATCGTTGTTCCTCATAATTTTGATGGCAACCAATTTCTTGGTTGTGATGTCAACGGCCCTGGCGACACCAGAGAACATACCCTTTCCGAGACCTGACTGAACCTGGTACCGGCCGTTCAAGATCTCGCTTGGCCGTATCTTGTAATAACCGTCCTTGTCGTCGTCCTCGAGGATGCCGCCCCCTTTGCCTCCTTGCAAAGCGATAGGGTCTTCGGTAGGAGCCTTGGCTTTCGGCGCAGACTTCGGCGCAGCGAGCTTCTCCTCGTCGAAGTCTTCTGCAAACATGTCAAAGTCATCGTCATCTTCGTTCTCAGCTTCCGTCGTATTCATTGGCTCATCCTTGCCTGACGCATCCACAGACTCGCGGCGGCCCTCGCCATGCAGACCGATGTTCCCGTTGCGCATCTCATCTCGGCGCTCGTCTTCCCACATATCGATAGTCGGATCGTAGTCTGCTGCCGACGGTCCATCTTCTTCGGTAGCCTTGACATCTCCATGAGTGTTGATCAGCTCTCGGTCATTTGCGACGGCGAGAGCCTCTGGAGACAGGCTACCCTGAGTGCGCCCGGCAGGCGAAGCCGCGCCTACCTTGTTAGCGGGTTGCAACAATGCCGTCTTTGGTTTTGACTTACCAGATGCAGGAGTCCTGGGAGTCTTCTGTGGCGTGGCCGCCTCTGAAGGAGTTTCGACAGTGTGGTCATGTTTGTTAGCCTGGACAGCCTGGACAAGCAAAGGGGTCGAGGCGCGAGACTTTCTTAGGAGCGCTTCCCGGCGACGTCTTCGCCGCTCGATTTCGGCTTCTTCGTCGAGAGGGGTTGGTGCATCCCAGTCTTCGTCTGGCTCTGGTCTCGACTCCTTGGCGGCATTTGGAGAGTCTCTGCTTGGCATTAGCTGCTGCTCCCGCAGCTTGGAGGGGGGTGGTGCTGTACTTTATGTGCAGATGCGAGGTGCCCTCAGCCATGCGCTCATCCGTAGCACCTTGATCAAATTTAGCAACTTCTTTGGAAACAGATTTGGCTCCAGCCTCAGGGGACCGCTTGGATGCGGTGTCATCCCGTACTTGCTTAGCAGTTTGTGCACCGTTCCTGGTATTTTCAATCTGCTCGCCTAGACGATTCCGGCCGGGGCCGTCAGCATCCCATTTGCCTCTCTGATGCCTGTCCCTTCCGTCGCCACGGCTGTGTCTGTAGGGAGATGGACTGCGAGTGCGGGGTCGCTTGTCAGCCCGCCCATAATCGCGATCGCGGTTGTCGTATCGAGACGCGCCGGACGGACGATCTCTTGAGTCGTATTGGCGGTGACCGGATGGACGGTCCGCGCTCTCATAGCGTCCCCGAGAGGCTGGACGGTCTAGATCCTCGTACGCATGTCGGCTTTGTGGTTGTGGCCCATCCTCGTAGTGAACCCTGAAGTGTCGCGGGTCGGAGCCACCTCTGCCCCCTCTGTGGTATGTGTCGCGGTCATCGTCGCGGGATCGCTTGTAGCCACGGGGTGAACGGGGATATCGAGACCGATAGTCGCCTTGCTCGGGAGAGCGGGTGTTGCTGAGTTGGCTTCTGTCCTGACGGTCAACACCGTTTCTCTTAGTCTGAGGCAGTGAAGTTGCCTTGGAAACCTCAACTCCGTTTTCCCTGATCTCGCCTTCGTCGGAGCTAGACATGGTGTCGAATGGAGTACGACCGGGCGTCAAACTCTCTGAGATGTTGCCGAAGAGACGAGGTTGATCCTCTAGCTTTGTCGCGAGACAAAAAAGCACGTGTCAGTCAAATTTGATGTAATCTCTTAGCAGCAAGCAGGAAATAGAGGCCAACCGGATCAATCCTGTCAACTCTTCGTAGACTCAGGACATGGTCCGGAGCGATCGCTGTTTGCTGGAGCAGGAAGAGTAGCTATGGCGCGAGCGTCGTTGATAGGTTATTGTCGAGTCAGGAAGGCAAGTTTGTTCAAGACGGCAGCATCATCATCCGTTCAATTAGGCTAGGTATCGACGAACAGGTCCAAGCAAGGCAAGGACGTCGTTTGGCTGAGTCAGTCGGATCCGCCCGCCTTATCGATAGGAAGTGGAATCCCAAGTGCGACCGGGGTCCTAGAGCCCACTTGGGCACTGCTCCCAACCCGCGTGGGGGATCTAGAACTCAAAGACACCGCCCCTCGCTCACTGTTCTCTTCCTCGTCAGCACTCGTCAACCGCCTTCCTGACAAGACATCCAAGCCTCACGCGCGCCCGCCTGCCCGCATATTTCGATCCTCTTTTAAAACCTCCGCAGCCAGTCAAGCAAGATGGGCGGCGCCGACAGACAAGGTTCGCATACTTCGGATCACTAGTCCGCAGACTCTCGTGGAATGTTTGCTGACATCCAGACACAGGCGGAAAGGCCAAGCCTCTCAAGGCGGCCAAGAAGGCGAACAAGGAGCTCGACGAAGACGATTTGGCCTTCCAAGAGAAGAAAAGGGCCGGTACGTTTATTTCGGTACCCCCGATTGTTCCTCTCCCTGTTTCTCCAATCTTCAACGACCATGGTCACTGACGCGATGGATGATCCAGAGGAGAAGGCGAGAAAGGAAATGGCCGCAAAGGCCGGCGGCAAGGGCCCTCTTAGTATCGGAGGACAAGGCATTAAAAAGAGTGGGAAGAAATAAGACACTCGTCGCATCAGGGCATTAATACGGTCTACGAGACCTAGGAACGAGACGCGCTCATGACGAGCACATGACGAGCACACAACAAGGACGTCAGGTAGGATTTTGGGAAGCATAGCGGGGGATATCTTTGGCAGGTGGATCTACAGCAAGAGCGCCGCCCTCTGAACTGAAATTATATCGGTTCTGCTTCGAGCAACAGTTTATTCACCAACGAGTCTCATACGCACGAACCCTTCGCGCTGGGGTGTCGGAGTAGGAGGTGCGGCCTTTCTGACCCTCTCGCCGCTGTCAGTGACCTCGTTCGGGCCCCCAACAAGGCCACCACTTCCACGTTCACAACCAGACATTATGCCCCATGATGATAATCTTCCCGGCTTCTCACATGAAGACCAGAGCTGCCTCACAGCGGTCCACCGAAAAAAAGTGTATCGAGACCCGCTGTTGTACGATCTTCAGGGTCCAACGTGTGTGTGCACAGTGTCTTTACTGTCATCAGCCAACTGCTAGCAGCGCTTATCGAAATCTTAGCGCCCACGATAGGGCCTGGGGATTGACTCTGGCAGAGCACACACAGTGCCAATCCTCTTACGTGTCTGCCAATCCACCTCGGTAGCTTGATCCAGTCATCCAAGTTGTTGACCTCGGAAGGCATGATGGAGTTGAATGAACCCGGCATGTGCAAGTGCCAAATCCCAACAATCAACAAAAAAGATAAACGTAAGACCATATGGCACCACCCGAATTTCCATATTGATATGTAAGACGAGGCAATCTAGCCTCTATTTCTGTCAACAGTAGCCCCCAAGCGGCACAGAACACGGACTCCCACAACATCCATTACATCTTCGAGATGACGGTCAACACCGGCGAAGCCAATGTGCGCCGGCGCCGGCATGATTCTCCAAGCTCTAGCGACTCCAACACCCTCCTGGACAAAGTCAAGAATGTGGAAGGCAAGATAGAAGACACGGTGCTCTGGGCTTGGGATGAGCTTCCCGACTGGCGCAAAGACAACGCCTTCATCCACACCGGCTACCGGCCCACCAGCAACAGCTACCTCTTGTCCTTTGGCAGCATCTTCTCTATCCACAGTATGTAGACTATGGACATAGCCATGCCCGACGCCCAGCTCTCAGGGTCCTCAAGACTCTACGGGAAACTTCATCACAAGTCCTCTACTGACCTGCGGCAGACGAAACCGTCAACGTCTGGACGCATCTCCTCGGCGCCATAATCTTCTCAGCCCTAGGCGCCGTCGCCTACTCGTTCTACGAGGCCATCATCGCGCCGCGCTATGCCACCGCCACCTGGGAGGACTGGCTGGTCTTTGGGTGTTTCTTCGCGGGCGCCTTCTTGTGTCTCGGGATGAGCGCGACCTACCACGCCATCTGCAACCACTCGCCCGACGTGGCCAAGTGGGGCAACAAGCTCGACTACACGGGCATCGTGTGCCTCATTATGGGGAGCTACATGCCCGCCATGTACTACGGCTTCTACTGCTTGCCCAGGTTGCTGGAGGTCTACCTCGCTCTGGTGAGTCTCCTTCATGGTACTGAAATATCACGCAACATGTCGATGTCCTGCTGTTCTGCACAATATCTGTTCTGTTGATGCCGCTTATACTCAACCGCACTTACGCATGGAGTTACTGACACTTGTCTCAGATCTGGGCACTTGGCCTGGGATGTCTCACCGTCTCTTGGTTCGAGCACTTCCGCACACCAGAGTGGCGACCATACCGCGCGTTGATGTTTGTGGGCTTGGGCGTCTCCGGCGTGTTTCCTGTTATCCACGGCCTGAGGATATACGGCTACAAAGAGCTCAATGAGCGCATGGGGCTTTCCTGGGTCCTCCTACAGGGCCTGCTGTATATTTCAGGAGCCTTCCTTTACGCTCTGCGATGGCCGGAGCGGAGCTGGCCAAAGACCTTTGATATATGGGGCTCTTCACATCAGATCTTCCACATTCTCATCGTGTTTGCTGCTGCGTCACATCTCTACGGAATGACCAAGGCCTTCGATTATCATCATGGACCGTTCGGAGCGAGGTGTTAGAGCATCATTCGATACACAGATAGACAGACACATGAGAGACATATAGATTCCTTGCATCGTCCTCGCATCGTATTGGGTATCTCATTTGCACCGGAAAACATCCTGTCTTTTGACTAGACCCCACACAGACTCAACTCAATGACTTTTCCATGGTTATTCTCCGACCCCAAGATCCATGATCTTGACCAGCCCCGACCCCATCGCGGCGGCCGCCCACCAACCACACTCGACATTGGGATTCCACGCTGCCACCACGACTCTCGTCCTTGCGTCGTGGACAACGGCTCTGGTCTCATCCAGCAGCTTCGACAGCGCCTTGCCCTCCCCCTTCGTCAGCAAGTCATCCTCGTCATCGATATCCATATCACCGTCATCGAGCGCCTTCTTCTTCCCCTTGCCCTTGGACTTCCTCCTGTTCGCCTCGTTCCTCTTCTTGTTCTGCTCCCTCACGTACTCGGCGCGCGGGTTGCTGTTCATCTCGGGCAGGAAGCCCTGCAGGATCCTCGCTGCGCCGCGGACGGCCTCCTCGCCCGGCTGCAGCAGCGGCAGCGGCACGCCGCCGCCGAGCTTGGCCGCGGGCCGGAACTCGTGCTGCAGGACCTTGAGCTTGTAGATGGGGTCGCCGCGGTCCTTGAGCAGGATGCGCAGCGGGTTGATGGCCCACAGGCTGCCGTCCGCGCAGCCGACCAGGGTGAAGGGGTGCGTCCGCCCGGACGCGAGGCACATGGGCGGGCTGGGCGTCGTCATGAGCGTGCGGCTCTGCATGTAGTAGCGGATGTGGCCCCACCCGATGATGGTGTTGTGCGGGATCGGCGCCGGGTGCATGCCGAAGAAGCCCTGCAAGTGGTCGTTCCAGTCCACGAGGTTGTGCTGGAAGTTGACGGCGCCGACCATGGGGATGTACGTAGTCTCGGCACTCGGGAGATTGAGGTCGGTCACGGTCGGGCAACCGCCCACGGGTGTGGAGGAGATGTGATAGGGGTATGAAGGGAAGCCGCTGGCGATGTCGAGAATGTAGCTAATGTGGACGGATTTCCGCATCAACATCTGCCGGGGGTAGATAGACCAGAGGCTGATTGAGCCATCGGTGTGGCCCAGACAGAGGCGGTTGGTGTTGACCCAGGTGAGAGATGTTGCGAGGACCATGTACTCGTCCGTGAAGCCGACGGTGGCAACCGGGTTCGTGATCCATTCTGCGAGAGTCATCAGCAAATGGAACCAGGGCACAGGTTTTCTTCCTCTTCCTTTTACGAGGAGATGGTCTAGCCATATTATCACTTACCATAGTTTGTCTGGCCAGAAGTTGGCTTGGAAATCTCGACGACCCTGACTTGACCATCCCCACACAAGACGGCGAGTAGCCCGACTTTCGAGTCGTCAGGCGAAGGGACAGGGCACCATTGTAGTCGCTTCGGTCGACCCCAGTCGAACCAAAGATGGTGGACCAAGCCGGCATAGCCACCGCCATCTTTGTGGCATGGGATCGACCATATCTGGATACTGCCCCTCTTCTTCTCTTCTGGGTCTTCTTCAGGTACACGCGACAGCCTGAGCTCCTGGTCCGAAGGCGGAACCGTACAAACGGCCAGGTACTGTTCCTGGCGTCCCGTGACCGGTGCCCAGCCGATGCCCAGTGGCAAGCCGCCTGTGTCCAACAGCCAGCCACTAGCTGGTGTAGCACCATCCTGTAAGCTTGGATCGATCGCGGCTTGCGGCTGTCCAGTTTCCGAGACAGGCTGCCCAAACCCGTAGCTGGATCGCACCTGGGTCTGGTTGTTGAAGGGGCCTACGAAACATATCAAGCTGTCCGAGGCTGGCTTGAACATCTCGACGTGGTCCGGCCGGATCTTGCGAGAGCGTTGAATTTGCTTGGCAGAGCGACACTTCTCGTACCATAGCCTGGCCCATTGTCTCTGTTTCAACTCGTAGTCCTCGGCCAACCAGGGACTCTGCATGACACCCCCTCTGCCAGTGTGAGTTCTGCTAGGGAGCACCTGGTTCGCAAACCATTTCTTGAACATGCCTCTTGCGACAGCGATGCGTGCCTCGCCGGGTCCGTATAGCATGACGAGAAGCTGGTGGCTGCGGGTCCATCGCTTCAAGGGCCCATCATACACCCGGGTTTTCCGCAGGTCGGTTGGGTACGGAGGCACGCCATGAACAGTTGCGCGCTTAGGGAGGTTCTTCTTCCATCTGCCTCTGCCCCTCGGAACTCTGTTTTGGCGCTTCCTGGCTGTATCGTCGCCGCCGTCGTCCTCGGATTCGACAGGAACGATGTCATCCCCATCGACCGCTTCAGGCTCCTCCCCCTCTCCCAGTGGCTCCTCATCCTCAACAGCTCCATCGGGCTCGTCGTCGTCTTCATCTTCGTCGCTGCCACCTTGCCCCTCATCGGCATCTTTCGTTACATCAAAGTCGACATCGTCGTCCTCGTCAGAATCCTCGACCTCAGCCGGCCCGTCCGACCCCTCGTCCGACTCGATGCCGTAAGTGTCGGCAAAGCTGAATCGTTTGGACTTGTTGGCTTTGCGTGTGCGCATTCTGAGCTTTTTGCGAGTTTTGGCAAATCAATCCAAAAGACGTGGGATAAGTCTTCTGCAACGGCTGTGATATTTTAGCCGAGCTGAGATCCACAAATCGTGGCTCAAAGTTCCAGGTGCATGTGCAGTGCAGACCTGAGAAAGTTGAGGTTCCCAAGACCGCCGCTAGGGGCTGGCTGGCGCGACCAGCCCTACCGAACCCCAGGGGTGAATGGGTGAGTACAGCAGCCCGTTAGCAGCCCTACGCCTTGGCAGCCCCACACGGGAGTGAATGGGCGCCACCGCTTCATGAACAACCTGGCCTGCCAGTCTTCACTCGCAAGTAACACGATTATCGATTATATCAATGTTTCAAATTGCAGGTGCGTAGCCTGCGTTTCGATCGAAGTGATGACTGAGGCCTTTGGAGCTTTCACAGCTGCCATAATGCATGTTCTGACAGCCAATAATTTGGTCACTCGAGACCAACGGCAGCATGCCATAACGGAGGATGGGCCACAGGGTAGGCAGCATTGGAGCACATCAACAGCTCACCACGGTGCTTTATGCTTGCAACCAAATGTTCAAGGGGCAACTATGAGAACAAGTGATTAGGCCAGTGAGCTAATAGGTTGAGAACCAGCATAATTGGTTACATTTCACTACATGAGCGTCTCACCATGCAAGACTTCATGGGCCAGTAAGGATCTTTCCTAACCATACTATGGCAGTTCGCACCCGTTCCCTTTGAAGGACGATGCTGAGCATTTCCACAAAAGCCGTCCAGGATTTATAGATCAGAGTGAAGTTAAATGGACTCTAAATAAGGTATTATGTATACTAAGCAGAGGTAATCAATTGAAAGATGGGTGCTAAGAAATCATTGCCATTGTCTGGTCATTTGTGCTCAGCATGGGCTAGTTTTCTCAGAAATGGCATCCATATGTAGAGTGCCTAGCCAGATCGATTTAAAAGCAAGAACAGGTGCAAAGCCATCCTCATATGGGAAGATCTTTCATAAGACGTTGGACTGGATTCCCCGGAGCGATTCAGCCTGCAAATATTGCAGAATACCGGCATCGCAGAGTGAACATTCACTCCAACTTCTGGCCAGAATTGACATTAATCGTGACAATTATTCCAATCTCACAAGAAGTTGACTTGGCAGTGACCCGGAGGGACCGGAGGGGTGACACTCATCGGGTGCTCTTGATGCCGGTGCTCGGTGTTCCGCCGGCAGAACCCATCACGGCCGAGAGACGGTCGGTCCGTACTCACAATGCGAGCTGCCAAGCTTAATCATTGTTAATAATGGTATCTTACTAGTAACTGAGGCTTCGGCCACATTGTGTTTTTAAATCAACTATCCATTGGTCTGTTTGCTGTCTGCTTAGCTTTCTAACTATCCCTCCCTTAGCTTATGTATAAAGTTATATATAGCTTAATATATATCCTTATTCCTATCTTTTAAAGGAATATTATAATACTTCTTTTTACCTTTATTTTTTAACTTTCTTTTAATCCTTTTAAGGGTAATTTTATTGCTAATAATTAAATAAAATTTTTATTTTTCTTTAAAAGTTTTATAATATGTTTTTAAAAATATTTAAATATTTTAAAGTAAAAGATTTCTTTATTTTAACTTTTATTAAAGTAAATAATTATAAAGTTAAATATTAATTATAATAATACTTTATAAGCTTATTTAATAAAGGTTTTCTTAAAAAATTATAATATATATTAATATAAATAGAAAATAATTAACTTTTTAATTAAAAACATATTTATAAAATTATTATATTTAATAAAGAAAATATCTTAATCTTTATTATATAACATGGTTTATTAATAAGTAATGCATATTAATAAATAATATAATTTTATAATTTTTATTAACTTTAGCTAACCTTAATATTTATTTAATATAAAGGAATTAATTAAATTTATTATTAATTAATATAAATTATATTTAATTCCTTATTTTTAATTTATTTAATTAATTTAAAGTATTATGGGCTTGCTTTATACTTTTAAAGTTAAAGGTTGTTATGGGTTGGCCTTGAGCGTCTGCTGGAAGGTACCCAAAAGGAGTTATGAATTGCAATATCTAAGAAGTAAGTTAGGCCCTGAAAGGGCCCAACTCTGGATCTATCTTTTAAGTGTGTGCCCCGTCACGTGAGAGGGTTGGGTGCAGTGTGGGCCCGGCACGGGCATGCATTACGGCTTGGGCAATAGCCCAAGCCCATCACAAAGGTGCTTAAATAAGGTTTATATTTAAAGTGCAAAGAAAGAGGTTTGCTCCCTATTTATACCCGCGTTAAAGCTTATTTTTATAAGGCTAAAGCCCGTTAACTAATTATAATAAGCAAAGCCTAAACTATAATATATTTTCCTTTTTTAAATCCTTATAATAAACTTAAAAGGGTAGCTATTTAATAAAAAATAAAGGATATTATGGTTTAATTTTAAATTAAATATTGCTTTTTGCTTAATTATTTAATTATACTTTAATACCTTTTAAATATATTAAAGGCTTAGCTTATTTTATAATTAATATACCTTTAACCCTTATAATTTAATATATTAAGTAATAAAAATAATTATTTAAATATAAGTTAATTATTAAGCCGGCAGCATTTTTATAATCCTTTAATGTAAATTATTTATATATACTTCCTTATTTAAATCTTTAAAATTATAAAGTTATTATATATTTTATAATTAATTAATATTTAATATATTAATAATTTACTTTCTTAATAAGGGTTTTTTAAGGTTAAATATATTTTATAATATTATATTAATTAATATATAATTAATATGCTTTATGCTTAAATTAATATTAAGCTAATTATATTTTAAGCCTTATCTTATAAAAAATTTTTATACCTCCTTAAATAAACTTTTTTTTTATTAACTTTAATTAATAAAAGTTATATCTTTATTTTTTTTATAATAATTAACGTAATTATATTTATAATAATTAAATTAATTATATATAAAATACTTAACTTTACTTATTAAAATTATTATAATATTAATATTTATTGCTTTATTATTTTAAGATTAAGTATTATTCTTTCTTATTATAATATTAAAAACGCTTTTATATTATTATAAAGTAAAGTAAAAGGCTTTAAATATTTCTAGCTATTCCTTATAATTAAGCTAAATTTTTATTATAAAAATTAAATTATTAATTATTAATAATATTTTATATTTATTTAATTAACTTTAAACTTTTATTATATAAGTTAATTAATTAAATTAAATAAAAAACTTTATTATTTCCTTTTTATAATATTATTATAATATAATTAAGCTAAGCTTAATATATCTTTACTTAAAAGAATTATTAAATATAAAATAACCCCTTTTTAAGAAACTTTTTAGTTATTTCTTAAACATTTTTATAAAATTAATATAAAATAAAAATTAATTATAAAACGTTTTTTATTAATTAAATATATAAAAAAATTAAGCCCCTTTAATATTAATTATCTTTTTATTTATTATAAACTTAACCCTTATTTTTATTAATTAAATTGCTAAGCATTTTTAAGATAAAAGTTTCTTAAAATAAAAAAAGACTTAATAAGTTATTATTATTTTTTTTTTAAATCTTATTATATTAAGTTTTATATAATTATATTATAAATATATATTATAAGCTTACTTTATACTTTTAAGGCTAAAAGTATTTAAATAAGGTTTATATTTTTTTTTTAAAAAAGGGTTACTTTTTATTTATACTTACATTAAAGCCTATTTTTATAAAGCTAAAGCCCCTTAATTAATTATAATAAGTAAAGCTTAAACTATAATATAAAGTAAAGTAAGTAATTATAATTTAAATAAAAATAATTAAGTTTTAATAAAAATAATATTAATTTTTTATATTAATTTATTATTAATATATTAATATTAATATTTAATGCATTAAAAATTAATAATTATAATATTAAAATATTTTTTTAAAGAAAATAATTTTTTTAATTATTTAAATAATTAAAACGTTTAAAGAAAATTATATTAAACCTTTTAACTTAACGTAATTTATTAATAAACAATTTTTTAATATATTTAATAGCTTTTATTAATTTTAATACTTATTTTAAGCAATTAATTTAATAAAAGTTAATATTAATTAATATTAATTATATTTAACTCCTTATTTTTAATTAATTTTATTAATTTAAATTAATTAACTTTTAATAAAAAATATATATTTAATATTAATTAATATTAATTATATTAAAAATAATATAATTTATTATAAATTAATATATTAAATATATTTATATTAATTAATATTAATTAAATTAAATATTAATAAGTATTATATATAAAAAAAGTAAGTATAATAATAATTAATTTAATTATAATATAAAGAATAAGTTATAATAAAGCTGCAACCTTTTTTTATTTAATTATAAGCTAATTATAATAATTTATATATAAAGCATATAATTATTAATTAATAATTAATTAACGTTAAGTAATAATTATTATTAATAAAATTAATTTAAACCTTATATCTTTAAATTTATATATTACTTATAATATATTTATTATATAAATATATTATAAATAATGCTTATATATATTATTCTTATATTAATAATCTTATATATATATATATATATACTTTAAGATTGTATTTTTCTTTTATAAATTATTTATTTTAAGTTAATTAAATTATTTATTAAGTTAATAAAAGTAAGTTATTAAGTTATTAAAGTAATACTTTAAAATATTTATAATTATTTAAAAAAAGTGCTTAAATTACTTAAAAGAAATAATTTTTTATTAATATTTTAAGATTTTAAAGTATTTAAATATTATTATTATAAGCTAACCCTGGGTTATTTGCTATAAGGTGCTTAAATAAGGTTTATATTTAAAGTATAAAGAAAGAAATTCGCTCTTTATTTGCATTTGCGCTAAAGCTTATTTTTATAAGGTTAAAGCTTATTAATTAATTATAATAAGCAAAGCTTAAACTATAATATATTTTCCTT